TCTTATTACTACTTGTATTGAGTTTTTTCAGCGCAATATTGTCATACGTATTTATACACATTATAATTATCGCAGCTAACAATAATAAAAAAAAATTGAAAAAATTATATCAATATGTCAGTAATATTACTTGTTTTGTGAACATTAAATATTTAATCAATATATATATATATATTATGTTTTGTAATTTAAATTTTTGAAAATAATTAAATGCATGTATAACATATGCATATAATTAAACACGCTTGTTTACTCTTACTCGTCAATAATATAATTACTAGACAATTATTTTTTCAACATTGATAGAATTTTCAAGTCGCTTGAAGAAATAAATGGCGTTGTATCGAATAATATTGTTCTAATAACATACTTTTAATAATTTAAAAAAAGAATTTATCACTCGCTTGTAAAAATTTAACATCAAAATAAAGTGTATTTACATATTAAATTTATATTCGTAGTTATATATGTTTGTAAAATTTTGCATAATATAAATATTATTTATATATCAAATTTATATATATTTTATATTGGATATCAGAATATTTAAAAATATAAAAATAGCAAAACATTTATGCGACTATTCTCCATATATAAGCCAATTCTCGAAAATGTCAAAGATATTTTTATGATCTTTTACACGTGAATTTATTGACCTCCCGATAGTGACATGATTGTTATTGTTTGCGCAACATATGGTCACTCGTAATATAATTATCATAGCAGGAAAGATATCTGAAATCTATTTAAACACGATCGTATCTAGTAATTGACTCTTGCAATCGATCACATTTATACATTATACATTTATGTCACGTCGCTATACGAGACGAGCATGATGAAATACTGGGTGTTTTTACCAGCAAGTGTGCGAGCATTGATGGGCTTCGTAAGCGGCCGGCTGATACCTCGTGATAACAACACAAGAAAATAGTGTTTCTGCATAAGTGGATAGCTTGACGTGGTGCTTGCCAGAAGATAATGGCTTCTTCCAGCAACTTGCCACTGGAAAGGCGACAGTCACCGCGATGTAAACACAAGGCCGTTTATGAAATTTGCATTTCCATGTGCGTGAAATTATCAACGATATAAAATCATCGACTACAAGGCTGGAACGGTGCGCGTCCTCGGTCCTTACAGAAATTATTATATTCAAAGCTATGTATATTAAATTATAATTTTTTTTATAGTTGTATATAGTTTTAGTGCATTAAGTAGCAAATTAAATACTCATTAATCGTAGTGCCAGACATAGGTGATTCGTATGTATGTATTTTTTGCAACGTATTTTAGCCATATGCAGCTATCCTTATTTGATAAATTGCTTATTTACCCTTTATCATAAAATGGATATTGGAAAAAAGAAACATACGCAAATTCATAAAAAAAATTCATAAGTAGTTTTCCATAAGAAATTTTAAACTATTTATTTTTTACTTATCGTTCGATATGCATTAATTAACCTCTCGCTAGTATCACTTGTATCACCTATTTACTGAAATCAGCATGCAGTGCATAAAATATACATGTCGTTACGAAAAATATAATTATTTTCTAGTTGTCTATATTTTTTTATTTTATTGAATAGTTTTAGTATATTGAATGATATGATTCAAATAGCAAATTAAATATTTGTTGATCATAATACTAGACACATAAGTGATATAATAAGAAATAACTATTTCCTACTCTGGTTAAACTTCTAATATTGACAAATAAATTTAAATTGAAGTCGATGAAAATGACAAAGAAATATGTATGAATCAAGTTGTCAGATCGATAATAAATATAAGGTATAATAATGTATCTATGTAATATCATATCATTATCATCATTGTTATAAAAGTATTATGGAATATAGTATCAACACCTCTCTTTTTATTTCATACTAATGCATAATGCATTTCTAATTTATCTGTAATTGCAATGATAGTTGTACTAATTGCGTGATAAAAAGAAGTTCAAAGTCTTTATTTATCAAAGATCAGTTCATTTTTCTTAAATGTTATATAAAAAAGATGAACTTTGTCTTATAATGTCCAATAATACAATTTAAATATATTCAATATATAAATGAGTGTTAAATATATTCATTGTAGAGTTTGAAAAATATAATTTGTATAAAAGGTACACACACACACCAAAAAAGAATATTTTTATAAGAAAATGGGGGCTCTTGCCAGACTTGATTTCTATATTATGAATATTGCATATTGATTAGACTATTAAGAACGCGGCTGACTCGCTCTCGTTCGATTAGTTTCGAGCAGACTGTATCTCTGACAAGTTCTTATCTTTTTAATGCTTACGCAAGTAATTCCACGTCCAAGTCCTTCAGTGTCTCGGCATCATTGTTGCCGTCATTCAAACTTTCGTGAGGCGCCGGCATCGCGACAATTAGTCGGATTCCTTCTTTTAAACTGATTCCAACGGCCGCTTACGGGAACGATCGACCTATGTTAATGAGGTAAACGTTCATTACCGGATCAGGATTTATCGGAGTTAATCAACGGAGTGACGATAAAAACGCGAAACCGTCAAACGTTCCTGACGCACGCCGATAAACTGACAACTAACTTGCGACAAGGGCAGGGAGAGGTGGTGGCACTTTAAAGGCTTGCTATCCGCTCGGAGCATGATCGTTCTCTCGTTCGGATTGCATACCGACAGTTTCAAACGGGCGTCGTTGACGGATCGTAGGTGACCGCAGCACCGGTCTGTTAGTTCTTCTTCCTTTCTCACTAACCGGTAGACCTCGAAATAACCGGTAAAACGAGAACAAAAGCATTTCAGTGCGTTGCACTGGCGGCTAAAAATGTCAGAAAGCGTTTAAAGTACAAAGAAACAAAGACAGATCCATATATAGAATATAAGAATGAGACTATAAAATATCATCAAGATTGATATCGAGAAGAGATAAGAACAGAGACGTTTACAACATATTTCTTCACGTTTTATTTTCGTATAAAATTCAAGAAGTGGGAATCAAGACTATGAATCCAAGATCGATTGAAGAATCGTGACCGCCGCAAGTAAGTTGAATGTTGATTATTTGGAAATATGTCGAACTATCAAATGTGCGTGACGATAAGTGAATTTCGTAGATAAGAAAAATTTTTTCATGTTTACAGCAATATACGTACATATGTTTTTAATTTTATCAGATATTATTCATTTATGTGTATGACTCACCATATTTTAATTTAATTGTTTGCACAGTAATCTTCGTTTATATTCGATTAAAAGTAACTCTTTTGCACGAAATATTACAATTATTACATGCAATCTTTCAATAAATATAAAATATGTACTTCAATAAATATAAAATATGTATATACTTGTTCTGTAACATATATCATTCTCGACAATTAATAATAATTCTTTAAACACGTGTATCATGATAATGTAAAGAAATCGAGCGATTTGAATACAATCCCATTAAATCCTTGCCTTAACCATTTTATCGTTAAATGACTTTCTTTATCTCATTAATTCTAAACATAGAATAAGGAAATGCCGATAGAGGGTGCGTACAAAGTACAAAATCGAATTACTTCCGTTCGATGCACTGACAAAGTCTGATCATGCGATAATAATTTATTCACGATTACATAAGACCGTGATATAACAAGGCCGACAGACAACTGTTCGTCCCATCAGTAGGACCATAAAAACTTCTTAGACTGTATTCATTAATCAGCTATGTAATTAAGAGGTCAAGATTTTCATGTTTGCGCGGTATGAATAATACTAATTTATTTCCATATATATTTCATTTCATATATTTTTTTTCATATATATTTTTTAGCAGACAGAGAATGTCTTAAAGTGAGTTTTTGTCTGTTTAAATATGTGTTAATTGTATTTCAAGGAGAGTAATTTTTCTTATGGAGAACATAAAAAAATTACTCTCCTTGAAATACACTTAACACATATTTAAACAGATAAAAACTCACTTTAACACTATTGATTTAAATGGGAACAAAGCTAAGATGCTAAGATGATAAGAATATGCAAAGCAACTTATATGTATTCTGTGAAAGTTGAAAATTTGAGTATCACAATAAAACGCGTTCTAAAGTTTAATAATTTTCTTTTTTATGATATAGAGCATTTATTTTTCACATGATTTTCACATTATTATTATATTATTCACATGATTTTCACATTAGAACGATGATTTTTTAACATAAATATTTTTTATATAAAATTTTTTATGATTATTTTTTAATATAAAAATACAGCAATAACTTTATAATTTTCATAATAAAACAAAAGAAAAAATTGTACAAGTTTAATAATAAAACAATTTAGAAAACTTTAAAGAGTACCGATCGATGAGCAAAACATAATTGTGCGAATACGTGTATTAAATAGAATATATTATAATTGTTAATATTATAATTATTTTATTCAATTTATTTATGCACTCGTATGCATATATTGAATTAATTTATTGATCATTTTTTAGTTCAAATTTTCTAATCATATAAGATATGGTACAATGTTACAAAAAATATTAAGTTACAATCAAAAACTTTTTGAAAAATAATTAAAAAATACAAAATATTAATATGATAGCGTACAAATAGCATTTTATCTAATTTTATGTCGCCTGTATTCCCATTTCTTACAAGATAACATTTATGTAATTTCCGAAAATTAAGGAAATATTGAAAGAAATATTACAAGACAAAAACATAATAAATATGTAAATATGTAAATATATATAAGTATTTTTTTATGCTTTTTCGCGATAAAATAACCATAATTATGTAACCATTTATTAGCTAAGATTTAATTTTGTACGGCATTGATTGATCATTATTTCGCGAACATATAAATTAATCTTTTCTACATGCAAATAAAATTTCGGAAGATATACTATTATTCATTATTTACGATTCATATTTCCGTGATGATAAATATATATATTCATCTTGCAAATATTAATCATTTTATCCTGAAAATTAAAGAAAGAAGCAGACAAAATTCAGTCGCGACAGAAGAATTCAAGTAAACGACAAAAGTCTTCCTACGTGTCGTATTTAATCCACGCAAGTATAGTTAATTTGTCGTGTGCTGATCATGAGGGGATATGAAAGGGAATGAGGGGCGCGGTCATGAAGGCGCAAAGGACAGAAACGCTCAGTAAAAAATCCTCCCTAAGTGGAGGGGATAAGAGACGTTAGACCCTGCCTGTTGATTCGCAGTACCCATACTCATCAGTAACAAACACGTCGTATACAGAATCGGAGCACAAAGACACGAATGGGAGTAGCAGTCCCTGAGAGCTCAGCGGATATTTATCTGTCGTCTTTTTCAGTTAATATTTCGGTGCTACAAGAAGAAACTGAAACCTTGGCATCTGGACAGCACTGAAAAGTGAGTCTAACCGAAAAGAATCTCGATTTTTTAATAAACAAAATTAGAAATATCGATGTTATTCACATGTTGTTTTGTTATTCACATAATGAAACATATGATAATTTCTGCATAAGCGAAAAAAAAATTATAATCGTGAAAAGTGATTTTAATTTATAATATTAATGTTCTGGTAATTTATAATATTAATATTCTGGTTACTCTCAATAGTGTGTCTTATACTTCAATCATCATAAATTATTATTAATTTTCTTCTATCTATTTTTTTACGATTTCTGATGTCAATAGAACATGTGTCAATTGAATTAATGTGTGAAAAATATATTAAAATATGTGAATATAAAATATATGAAAATGAGTAATAAAAATGAATAATTCCATACAAATTTATTTAGATTATATGTATCTAGCATTACTTATCTTTTAATTGACGCCTTTCAACTTATAGTTAGAGTTAATAAATACAAATTTTTCAAGATTAATTTTTTTCTTAACGAAAAAATTATCGTTAACGAGAAAAAAAAACGATAACTGGCATAGATGATAAGACATCGTGACAAGACCTGAACTTTAAATAACTCTGCATGATTATCATTCAAATTCTATGAAAATGACTATGCTAGAAGTTATCATGAAAGTATTTGTAATATAGATCATTCGTTGTTATAAACGATTATCAGTGAAGAAGGTCAGTGAAGAATACGTACTTTTAACGCTTTATTTATTGTTAGTTTAACTAGTCTTATGCTATGTGTTTATCTAATGCAAGTGTATACGAGTTTAAATTTTAATTGTTCGTCAAATACGAATTATATTCACTTTATTTTTTCAATCTCAATCAAATCGAAGAAATATTTATTTTTTACAAAATTGTAATTGTTTTGCAAGTTTGCATTTTGCGAAAAGCTTAAATTATTTTGAACTTTTTTATATATCAATAAATTTATCAATAAAATTAAAAATATATTTAAAAAAAGATAGTATTTCTACATTTTTATACATATATTTGTCATTTTTTATTTATATATAGAGCAGAAATGAAATAATGTTCAAGAAATACTAATATTCAAAACACATTCAACTAAAGAAATAAATAATTAAATCATTGGATTGTATAACAGATTGTGTAATAGATGTTTATATGTTAAAAGTATAATAATAAGCTAAAAACTATTAATTATAAGCTTTATAAATTTTGATGAAATTTGCCTAATTATCTATATCAATTATGCAACAAATTTCCAATTCCATCAATCAATTTTTTCAACATTTAATGACTATGTCCATGAATTAAAGTTATATAAGCAAATATATACGTAGATATCTTGCTTTTTTATAATTGCGCTAATTTATTAAATTCTGTGCTTTGTAGTATTCAATTATTACTAGTAATTATTATATATTTTAAAGTATTTGATGATCCTAATATATATTTATATTATATTATACTTAATAAGATATAATTATATTGCATCAAAAAATTTAATCAAACGCGAACAATCATTTACAATATTTCACAATGTTTTTCGGCGTAAAAAATTTAATTTATTCCCATCCGTAGATATACATCATAATATTCATTAATAATTCATTAATAAATCATTATTAATAAGTTTTCTCGATTAGATATATATGTACAGAAATCTTAACTATTTTTTAAATTTTGATACAACTCGTAATTTAACATAATTATTTCTGATGGAAAACAGTGATTTGCGCGATATGAGTTAACTTGAAGTAAAGAAAATCATGAATTAAGCAAAAGATCTATTAATAATATATAATTTATCGAGCACTTTACATAGATTTTGTGATGTGCTTAAATTGTTTAATAAAAACAATTAACAATTAATACATCTAATTATGGGAATCCTATTATTCTATTATATATAATTTTATTTTGATCAGTATTTTAAAAACGTAATCAGAGAGAGAAAGACTTTGATATATTACAATAAGTGTCAGCATTATGACTATCATATATATATTATAAATATAAACAATATATTTTTTTAACTTTTTGTATTAATTAATCATAATTCCCCTATATTTGTTGTAATACATAATGCATTTTATAACAATTCTATATTGATTTTTATTTTGTTATTATCACTGTGTGATTTTAAACGTTTAATATCACTAAAGTTATATAAAAACATTGTTAACAAGAGGTAAGCCGATTAATATTATATCGATTCATCTCCAACTAACCTATTAAATAACGAATTCTATATATATATATATATATATATATATATATATATATATAACCGGAATGTTGTAAATACGAAAATACAGACATGATATTTTTCAACAAATACATTTTATGCTAAGAATTTATGAACAAGTATTTATCTTTTTGTAATAATTTAAATGTATATTTGAGCTCGTGTTGCGAATTGTTATCACGTAATGTTTATTTTTATCATTAATATAAAATGTTCATTAGAATAAATCAATTTTTTAAATGAAAAGTTCTTGCATCATTCGTGATTTGCATTTATAATATTGAATATAAATGTAGAAAGAGAGAGAGATAGAAAAATAATCATATAAAAACGATTGTTACATATTACACTCTATTATCTTTATTTTAATATAATTTAGGAAAGAAGAAAACTCTTAGATATTTATTATTTTTTACATCGAGAAAAAAAATGCAAAATTATATTAAATTCCGTAAACTTTACTCTAGACCTATGAACTTGTTTCACTATTCAAAACACTATTCAAAATATTCCATATATTTTCAAAAGATCTTCCGAATACTCTCACAAATACTCGACATGTTAGTTGACACGCATGAAACGAAGCGTGTCTATTCGCGTCGACGCCTACGCAGTCTTGGCCGACTAAGAAACGTCACCGAGCATAACAAGCTAAGCTGAAAGAAACGCGCCACGCATAGGCAACACACACGTGCATACCTCATATAGTATGAGGCGTAAACTCGTCATCTCTCTCGACCGTAGTTTGATTAGATACGTTTTATCTTACAGACTCCGCGAAGCGCGTGGATCGTTGGCCGGGAAGTTGAGGGAGTGAGAGAAGTGATCGACGAAGAGTCCAGCCACTGGGAGTTCAGGGTGCACATGCTGCAGAAACGAGAATCAGTGCTCGACGAGATACGCGCGTCGCTATGAGACCGTGGACGAACAAGTCGCTCGGCTTTGGCATCTTAGGGCTCTTTCTGGTAGCCCTTGGCATCTCCATCTGCTTTTTGTGGCCAATATTTTTCCATCATATAATTCAAAAAGTGAGTGCGGACAATTGTCACATTTTTATTCGTGATACCAATTATGTCAATTATATATTTTTTTTCAAGATCGCAGAACCTTATTTCATAAAGTGATAAGACTCGTGACTCCAAGCAAGATTGGTGTAACATAATCACTATCTTTCTCTCTCGTTAGATCGCGCTAGTGTATTTACTTACTCGATATCCGCTTTAAAATCTTTGTTAAATTGAATTCGAAATGGATTATATGCGTGCAACATATAAGCCGTTGTGTAATAAACATTGACACTAAAAATTTAATCTTTGCTTATCTCTACTACTGATACTGATGTGGCTCGCCACAATATCATCAAAAGTGTAATAAATTTCAAGTGATTTTTGTGAAAAAATATGATTTGATGACAAAAAATGGCATAATTATTGAATGGTATAATTATTTAATCGAAAAATACTTAATTTGAATGATTAAAGATAAAATGTTTTTGTATTACAATTTAATAATCATAACATAAATTTCAAAATTTTAATAAGTTGTCATCAACGTTGACATATTTCTAACGTGGTTTTTAATCCTAAAAAATTTATCATTTCTTATCTTATAAATTATATATAATATGCTAATTATTCTTTTTAATTAATATTATAAAATATGCTGTAATGCATAATAAATTGTCGGTCATATAAAATGCGATGCGAGTATGAAACGTCATCTACTCTATGAGAATCGTACTCATTTTTATTCTATGTAAACGGATAGCCTTGTTTTCTTAGGTTATCAGTCACACAGCAATAATAATATATTTTTAAAATTCTCTTTCTTCTTGTTTCTTAGTGAGGAAAAATGCTGAAATTTATTCTTGACTTTCGAACGATTAATCATACTTACTACTCGAACTCAACCGAAGGTAAACGAGAACATGCGCGTCGCAAATTGTTTTTGTATTCGCGATCGCGAAAAATGAATCATGTCCATGTACACAATAACGCAGCAAGCGACCATCGCCGCATGCAGACATGTATATACAACGAACATAAGATTACTCGTTGAACTAGTCCAGATACTATTAGAGACTGGAGTAACTTGTCTCAGCGCTAGTCACAGCCCGATTGGAAAAGTGGCTGATTGTCCCATCAATTGGCGCGTTTCTATGTGCATTGCAACTGGTTGCAAAAACGATTTCACGCCACCGACAACATCGTCGCGCACGAAATATCTCGGTACCGATAAAATTAAGATCCACCATATCTCATCTTTATCCTCTCGAATTATTTTCACGATCGCGAAAATTGTTGACAGCTGCGCGAATAGATTCTTACTCGAGATTATCGCCATCAGCTGTATATCGTATCTTTTGCAATCGATTTAATAATTAATTAACTTTTCAATACTTTACTAATTCTTTTCTTGGCTTTTACTAACACTACTAATACGATGTCAATGGCACTTTATTATCATTGCATCATGTACAGGCGAAATTTGTAAACGCAACATTGTATAGTTATACAATGGTCAATGATATATTTTTGCGATAATACATCGCAAATCTTTACTTTTGCGTTTTATTTACACGCGCGATGAAGATCTACCGTAGACTGACCAAGCATGTTGGATCGATAGATATTAATCGTAGAATAGGATTCAAAAATCGTTAAACAAAAAAATCTCTTATATAATCGTATCATTAATCATTGTTAAAAGAAGTTATCAGACTATCGTTATAAAACGATCATTGCCATCACTGATTAGAAATAATAAAAGTATAAGACTCGAAATATAAAATTAACAAATTAGTTTCAATAGCAATACGAGTCGAGCGTCGATGTTATGACACATTTATTTATTTATTATACAAAAAAGCATAAAACAAATATAAATAAGAATAAAATTAAGATTAAACGAAGGAATAGCGAACGTTTCGACCATATTTTTGGGTCATCTTCAGCGCAAATGTGATGATGTAGTAAAATTATAACAAAGGTGTTACATATCTGAATCGATGAGATAGGATACCGTCCAAAATAATACTAAATGTCTCGGTATCTCACTATCTTGACGATGCCTACGTAAAATAAAGGAAAAACAAAATAAATAGATAATGTAAACTAATATATAATGGAAAAAATATTAAAATCACTGATTAGAATATATTGTTTCTTTCTTCAGAATAACTTTATTCAAGGATTTCTATGTCGAACAAATTTTTAAACGGATGTGACAATTTATTCATTATCATTTAAAATTTTTTTCATATAATCGAATGAATAAATTTTATGATGCGAATCTGAGAGAAAGAAGAAAGCTGCCTGTTTGTAAAAAATGTATCAGATAAAAATAATTTTTTTAAACTCTATAAATATAAATATATATATATACGTATAATATAAAAATATATACAATAAAAGTAAAATATTAATTTTATTCGTGTGAAAAATTCAAATTTAAATATATATCACACAGAATTATTAAAATCAATTATATAAAATTAAAAAATCGAAATAAAAAAGTAAATAGATAAAAATAGTCATGTCTTATAGAAAATGGTCATTCAAAACAAAAAAACTAAAAAAAAAACTAATCTACTAATAAAAAAGTCGCCAATCATCTCATGACGCATGTTATTCATTTTTTTATTTTTAATTACATGTTATTTGTAATTTTACATAATAAAGATTATTTATAGATATTTTCTCGTGTATGTGTACAAAGAATTATTATATAACTTTATTTAAAGCCCCAGTGCATAATTCAAAGGATTCTCTATTCTCAACTTCTTTTAAACAATAAACAATTTTAAAAGTTAATTGGAGAAAAATAAAGGATTAAAATTTGTTTATTTCCATACGCAGGGATTGGCTCTATCGCCGACTTCTAACAGCTTTAAAATATGGTATGACACTAGCGAATTACCGCCGATGTTCTTGGAGGTATACCTCTTTAATTGGACCAATCCGGAAGAACTTGGTAAAGAGAAGCCGCATTACGATCAAATTGGCCCTTACTGTTTCAGGTAAGAATGACCTTCATTCAAATAAACGATTATTGCGCTTGATCATAAACGACATTCGGAAACAAGTACAAAAGAAGAAGGTATTCTCTTATATATATATATATATATATATATATATCTCTTATATATGTATATATATGTATATGTATCGATGAGGCTCAAGATTAACTTCTGCATCAATCCGTTTTAAAAACATCGATACATGTATATTCTATCTTTGTCAGTTAAAAACTCGCAGACATATCAAATTTCGAAACCACGCAATTAATGCACATGTCGCACCAGATAAGATAAAATTGCAATCATTCAGTGTTAAATACATAACCAATATGTATTGATTAGATTGTATATATTGTACATTTATCTTATTTATTATTTTACAAATTGGGTATCCTGCTTTTAATAAACGACAATAATTTAATTTTAAATAGTAAGTAATGTAAATGTTTCCCAGTCAGAAATATATAGTGACATATATGATGTCGAATTAAACATTAAAAATCAAATGTCAAAGTTGAAATTCTGATCAAATTAATATCAAAATGATATAAATATTGATTAGGTGATTATTATTTCAACATAATTTTAACTTTGAATCGATCAATTAATTAAATCCTTTGAAAATAAAAAAATCATTTTAGACGATTTTATTTAAATTATAATCATGATAAAATTAAAAAATTCTACTAATTTTAGATTATGACATATAATTATCAATCCAAAAAGGAGCGTATTGCTAATTTAATATAAATATACAAAATCTTACACAAAAGACATAAATTTAATATTTATTTTTCTTAAAAAATATAAAATATAAATGTATTGAAGTATTTGTATGTGAAATTTAAATGTATGTGAAATTTAAATGTAAATACAATATAATAGAAACGCATCTCACATATCTCTCCAGTTAAACTAGATAAAAACTGAAAAATCAAATACGTTATATTAGCTAGCTTGTGTAGCTAAAAGCTAAATGATGTATTCACAAGCTAGCTAAATAATGTATTCAAAGCATTACAGATATTATTATTTAGTGACTTTAAAGTAGTTTCTTAACTTCATAAAATATTTTGTGTTGCATATCTAGTTTTATAATCATAATAAAAATTAGATAAACTAAGTAATAAAAACTAAACAACTGGACTCTCATTCATTTAGATGAATTGCACTTCTAACTAGATTGTCTATTAAAAGTTAAAGAATAATATATTTTAAATAAACAATCAATTGATTATAAATAAAACAAGATTCTTGCAATATAGATTAGAACTATTTTTTTCATCAGCGTTAAACAAAACTTACTGATCGATATATTATTATAATAGATAAAAGCAAAACATATGCAGATTAGAAAAAAAATAGTGCATAAGGATCCGATATACGTCATATATATAAAAGATAAAGTTATGCTAATCAGATTGTCATGAAGTAACAATGCGATAATAAACCTAATAATGACAATTAAGAAGAAATAGTTAACCTCGCTGTATTGACACTTTAATGAACAATAAAATATTCCGGTCAAATTGTAACACACGCGTGGGCGAGATTATATGAAGTAATTGACTATGTAATTACTTTCTTCTCGGTTGTGTATTTAATAACAAGTGCCACACAGATGCACTTCACCGGTTTGTGTCTTTTGACTGATTGATATTAATCTAAGAAGTCGCTAAATTACTAAATATATGTGAAACATCGACCTACAAAAATAATTGGCAGCATCAGTAATTGTAATATTTTTATGTGATAAAAATATATGATTTTATTATAAAATCAACAGCCCACAACTAAAATGTCGTTCTTTAAAGAATAATAGAATTGCGATAATGAATTCCAATGAATTGTTTTCTTAGTAACAATGATTGATTAAGAAAGTTCTTATAATAAAAAAATTTCCATTACATAAATAAAATTGAATTTTAATAAAAATTCTTCAATTTTTATCATTTTTATCGATTATCCTCAATTTGTGCAAATAACCAAACTTCTCTTTTTATGACTGTAATAGTTGTCGCGTAAAATAGAACTCTTTTTCTCAAAATTTTTCTTCTAGCAACATACTTTCATCTCTTGTGCTAGTTACATGATAAAGATTGCATCTTTGACAATAAGAGAATATTAGGGATAAGGTCGTCGTCATTACACACGTCCTGTGCAGTTGTATAGCAATTGGCCCGTTAAAACCAATAAGCAAAATATGTAGGTCAGATGTCTAAACTATGGTCAGATAATCGACTTCAGATCTAGTGAAAAATGATCACGGTTGCATGATAAATGCAATTTATCAGTTAATAGTAATTTAGAAAATATTGTTTAAATATACTTATTATATTTTTAAATAAAAATTAAGTTTTCTTTTACATAAAATTACGATAAATGTTTAATTATATTTAATTATAATTAATTTACATTAGTAATTCAATCAATGTTACTTTCTTTCAATTGCTTTTATAAATAATCTTGACAAGAAAAAAATATATTTTTAATTAATGTTTGTGACGAAAAAAATTGATCATAAGATCAGATAATAAGATCAGGTAATAATGCAAAGCAAGAGAAAAAATTATCATTATAATTTATAAATTTCAGAGAAGTGAGGCAAAAGGATAACATTACGTTTCATCATGAAAATAAAACTGTTAGCTATTTTCAACGACGATTATGGTATTTCGATGCAGAACGCAGCAATGGAACTCTCAACGACACTGTCAGCCAGTTGGACGTGGTCGCTGCAGTAAGCCTAACTGCATCTTTTGTTGTACGATTAGTATAGTAAATTGCATTCTCTTGATATAGCAATTGATTCAACACCAATATAAAGTACTTGATATATCAATTGACTCGATATCAATATAATTATGTGGTCTTATTGTATACATACAAGTACAAATATATTTATTTTCTTGCTCTTCAGAGCAAGATATAATTATAAAAAAAACTTAGATATGTACAAACATATAAAACATTCTTCTCTGATAATTCTAATTGCAGTAACGAAATATCGTAACGTAAAAATAGTAAAAACGCGCGCGTATAATATCGTAATGTTAAAATAAAGTTACGCGAAAAGAAGCAAAGTTTAGGTCAAGTCGCGCTAATGCAGCTTCCTTTTTTGCAGTCGGCAGCGCACAAAATTCGATTCTGGCATTACGACTTCCAAAACTCCTTATCCTTCCTTTTATCAAACAAGAAGCTCTTTACCATCAAAACGGTGGACGAACTACTATTTACTGGTTATACCGATAACATACTTGCGTTGGGTAAGATGATGATGCAAGACTCCGAAATACCGACTTTTGATCGTTTCGGCTGGTTCTACATGGTAAGTCTATCTATCTTTTCTTTCTCAAATATATCCATATAAATTGTTTCCCTAGCAATGCATTAATATATGTGTGTATATATATATATATATATATATATATATATATATATGTATATTATACAATACTTGTTTTAGGGCAATATTACGTTTCATCATGAAATGAAGAATCGCATGAGAAGATAAATAAGCAACCATGAAAATGAGCACGAATATAAATATATATATGTACATATATTCGTACTCATTTCAACGATCATTCGTTTATTTCTTCATGCATTCTTCTTTTTTCACCCGCCTAGGGCAAGTATTGTACAGTCACTCGCTTCACTTTTCCAAATCTTAGGAAATCAGACACAAATGCCTGACATTTATTTCGCTTTATTATAAATCACTCACATCTTCACAAACATTTAAACTGCTAACATGAAAGATAGAGTAACCAATAACATTGAGAATCGCTACGAGCATATGAGAAACTATTATCAGATTAAATTATACGTTTATTAACACGAGGCACATAGTGTATGGAATTTGAATTGCATGACTCTGGACAATAGCGTCACGGTCGATGGTAGTAGAGTATTTGTAACTGGGCTTAAATTGGTAATGAATGGAAGAAATCGCACATATATATATATATATATATATATATATATACATATATAAGTTGCCACATAGCAAATAAAATGGTCATGGAAATATATATTATGTGTTGTACATAACTTATATATATTGATGTTAATGTGCTCTATGAAAATTATATATTTGAATATATATAATATATAATATTTGAATATATATAATATATAATATTGAATATATATAATATATATAATATATAAAAATTAATTATAGATATTCAAAAACCTATAAATTCGATCGCGACTATATGTTTGATCTTTAATAAAAAAACATTAAAAATCAAACAAACATATAATTTTTCTTATTATTATATTAATTCTCATGAATAGCCATGTTAAAGAAAAAATACTTGCGTGAATTATTCACGCAAGTATTTTTTCTGAATCCTGGTGCAATTATTAACAAGTTTAAAATTGCAAGAAAATCGAAGACCACTGCAATTCATAATGCGACCTTGTTACACGCACAGAGAAATGGCAGCACCATGTTTGATGGACACTTCAATATGGAAACAGGCGAGGATGACATCAGCCAATTGGGTATCCTGAGAAAATGGAATTATAAAGATACGACGAAATTCTACAAGACTCCTTGCAATCTCATTGAAGGCAGTGCGGGTGAATTTTGGCCACCTGGCAGGACGAAGGATGACATCATTCTGTTTAGCTCAGATTTATGCCGGTTAGTAAAAATTATTATTAGATTTACAAAATAGAGAACAAAGTATAACACTTGCAGTAACAAAAAGAGCGATATATTTAATATATTTAATGTATTTAATGAAAGCTTAAAATTTCAATTTTTACCAATTTACGTTTAATAGCTTATAAACTTAAGCTACTATATATTATAAAGCCGCATAAGCAATGTATTATCACTATTAGAAACATTTATCATATTATTTATTATTTTTTCATTCTCTTCTCATTACAAGCATTATACTAATTTTTTCAAGCAATAGCTCAATGTTCATCGATATGTTTGCACATTATAATCTCTTGACCTTATTACTTTTTTTAGTCCGCTAGTCTACGAATACGAAGAAACGACTTCTCACTTTGATATCGAAGGTTATCGATACGCTATTGGTGGAAAAACTTTAGGCAATTCCACGAGACGACGTTATCCTCATGATCAAGCGAAATTTTTCGAACCAACCACGACCACAGAGGACTTCTTTGTAGCCGAGCATACGACCGTCTTTGAGCCCACTGCCACTACTTTTAATAATAATTATTCATCCGAGAACACGGACGAATATCTCAACAATGATCCGGATGTTATTAACATGGGCAATTGTTATTGTAATGGCGAGTGTACACCATCGGGTTTGTTAAATATAACAGCATGTCGTTACGGAGCGCCGGTCTTCATTAGCTTACCTCACTTTTACAAGGCTGATCCAACCGTTCTTGATGCGATCGATGGATTGAGCCCCAATGAGGATCACAGCTTCTCCATCACTCTAGAACCCGTAAGTGGCTATCATTGCGAATTGTTAAAACGTAAACATTCAAGTCAGTCGTGATAGAAAGAACGAGGTTTAATTAATTATTAAGCCCCTTTACAGAGGCTTTATAATCAAGATACTAATTTTACTCTATTTCCTTTCATCCAGACTATTCATAGCATGCGATTGTTGTGATAATATACGCTATTGAGAAAGCAATAGCGTGCATTGCACGCAGTAATTTCATGTATCGTTGTTACATGATATAGTAATTAGGCAATGTTAATGCCTGTAATGAATAAAAAAATCATACAAATAGAGATGCATTTGATATTTCAGATAACAGGAATTCCTTTGGAAGTATCAGCTGTATTTCAAGTTAATATACACTTACATTCATCGGAAATTATAGAGTAAGTACATTTTTCGAGCAATACAATAAATAATTCGTTTGAATAATGTATCGTCATATATGTTCTTATGAGAAAAAAATAATTTTAATAACAAAATTATCGATATTCGATATTCATTTTTTTTTTATGAATTAAAAGAAAAACATGATATGTTTGTATAGACTTTTCCACAAAGTACCAAACATCTACATGCCAATGTTATGGTTCAAATTAAAAGTGGAAATTACCGAAGAAATGGCGTCTAATTTAAGAATGTTACTAGCACTTCCAACCATGATGTTGTGTAGTAGTATAGTTATGATAATCGTTGGACTATGTTTGATTGCCGGCATGGTGCTTCGTTATTTCGGAAAGAAACGACACATGCCTTCAACGGTACGTACATTCATCTAATTCCTAAAATCCTTTTCGTGGTTAGAAAAGAAATATTCAATATCGATGCGCGTTTTACAGGAAGTCACGATGGAGAAAATGATCGATAATTCTGATTGTGAGAAAAAAGCGGAAATGGTGTACATGGATAAAACGAGTAACAACGAGGATAGTAACATCAAAACCGATCGCCGTTTGTACGCGAAACAGTAAGTGTTTCTTCAGGAAACTATGCTTCTGGAACGGATATGCAAATCGTTGTACAAGTGTGCAATCGTGAGGCAACTTTGACATGTGAAGTTGTTGTTATGCAAATGAATTTTCATGTGTCTTTAGTCTGATTTGATAACAACTGGACTTATATATTCTAAGATATAAATTTTTATTTAAACGTAAAAACGTTATTTAAAAGTATAAACGCCAATAGGATATTTGCATATGATTGATACTAACGATCTGCGAAATTTAATAACTAGAAAAATCGCAGATAATTATAAAATAAGCTTCTAATGGTTATAATGATGATAATATGTTTGATATTGATGTGAACAAATTACACTTCGATTCCTTAGCTCGAAGGTAATAAATTTATATGATAATAAAGTAGCGTTATGTTCTAACCACGAGCTAAAATATTTCCGATCGAAGTGTAATTTTGAATACATAATAGATAAAGCATGACAGCGAATATGCTGAAAGACGCATATAGGATGACTTTTTCGAATGATTATCATAATTTTTGTAGAAAAAGAAATACGGATAAATTTTCCACCTTTTTATTCGTTTTAGAGATCATATTCGCTACAAATGTTGAATTCATCGTGATTGTTACATTCCTACGACATATAGATATAGATGGAATGATATTATCATTTTGAAAAATTGGTTCGTCTAAGACTGACGTTATTTTATTAAAGCTTTAATTATTTCCTTCTCAATCTATTACTTTCATACATGTGTTTTCGATTAAAATATACAATTGACCAATCAATGAATTGCAAATTATGTTTTGATCCAATTATTCTAATTTATTATTTGTAAAAATTGAAATTCCTTCGATCACATAAATAATCTATAAATATTTATAAATGAATCTACGCGATAAATAATTAGAAGATAATCATCGATATAAAATTCTAATCATTTCTAATCATCGATATAAAATTCTAATCATTTCTAATCTTCGATATAAAAACAATTGATATTGCAATCAGATAAATAAACAAGCTTTAATAAAAGTGAAAAAGCTTTAGAATAACAAATACATGACATTGCAATGAAACCGAATTTATCCTTTGCTCGAAATCAAAATGACTGTTATTCTTCTTTTAAGTTGTTTAGATTTTTAGATATTAATGGGATGTACGAGAGATATCGTATACAACGAATTCTACCATTAGATTAGGCATAAATGTAGGAAATGTAAAATATATATATGTACATATATATATATATATATATATATATATATAGATATATATATAGATAGATAGATAGATAGATAGATAGATATTTTATTGCAAATATGTAATGCAATATATTATTCTTGTACGACAAAGTATCTATGATGTGCCTTGGTATAATTGTAATTATGATCGTACAGGTTTTCGGATCTATTGAGACAAATATTTAAACAATGACATACCATAATCTCGAGATAACGTGGCGGCTTCTTCATGAAGCATGCCTGAAGCAATGTAAAAGAATCATCTCTCTCTCTCTCTTACTCCGTTGATATGAAATTAGTAAAATCCATCAGATATTTCCTTTTTAACAATATATTTTTGTTGATGCGTTATTATTTAGCGTGTAATGTAATAATATAAGTGCGCGCTGCCCAAAGTTAAGTTACTGTGCCAATCTTTTGTTACAATATATACCTCACACGGATAAGTTTTGTATGACAAAACTTTGTTTGGGTGATACTTTTTTGAAATTATTTGTATTTGAGGAGCTAAAACAGCCATTTACAAGTGCCAATGACATTTACTAATTGTAAGCATTATGTATCCGACGACGAGAGTCGCGGCAAATGTTACCAATTTTATATAAGTGCAATCACATAGTGATGTGTGAAAATATGTTATACATTTTTATCAAAATACAGATACGTTGACGATGATTTAAATTGGACAAAGTCAATTTTATATTGTATTTTAATAAAAATTACCATTTTTGTATCATTATCAGTTTTATTATCACTTTTATTGTATTTTAATAAAAATTACTCTACTAAATCGTTAACCTCGATTAATGACATGATTAATGACACATTTTGCATAATGAAAGATTTTGCTGCAATATTGTTTTATATTTTATTTGTTTTAAATTAACAAAATTGACAGAAACTTTTATCTTCCACATTTTCTCAATTATCACGTTCACAAATACGTAATGGCAGCCGCGATTTATAATCTGTCGTATCATTGAGAGGTAAACAGACATTGACAGGTAACAGACTCATGCTATATTATATTCATCACTATCATAAACTGCTAACGCGAATCACTACATTGCCAATAAAAGTTCTCTTTCATTGCTGAATATTTTTAATTGTAATACAAATTTATCACTAATAATTTTATCTGCATGAAATACTGAAATACATATTTATTTTTAAACATGAAAAGTTTGAGTACCAAAAATGCATAAAATTTATTTATTATGCTATGCACTTACACGCCATTTCGCGGTGAGAAACGTTATTAAATCTTTATAAGAATGAATTTACAATAATTCCGATCGAATTGATAAATTTATCTTGAGTATATCATACTCAAGTAAGAATATATTAATTATCGTTTTTTTTTTTTGTAAAAAAGTAATACAAGAGATCTAAATATGAAAAAGATCTACACAACAGAAGCCAGACTGCCTGCATGCCTCGAAACATCACGTAGATAAAGAACTCGTAGGGCATTATTGTGCCTGCTATCGATCATCACGAGTCTCGTAACTGCTGGTACGCCATTTGTCTCGTAAGGTCAGATCTAAAGGGGAGCTGCTATAAAATTCATTTATGTGCGATCGCATCTGAGCAAAAAGTTGGAATGTCCAATTGCGCAAAGGTATTTTATGATTTTAAAATCCTTCATAGATGGGACATATATCATAATTTTTAATAATGCTTGTTTAATTTTACGAAATAATAGAGCATCATATTTAAATATTAAAGAAAAACAAGTAAAATAAAGAATTAAACTGAATCATTAAATTATCGGCGAAACTTATAATGTATTGATATCGATATAAAAGTCATGATGTATGTATAAAAATATTATTTGATATTCTATTTTAATAACAATCTTTATAACTTTTTTTTGTATAAGATTATTAATTATGTTATTCCTTTCCCTCCATTAAGTCAAATACTCCAATTATATGGAATATTAATATTCTATGTAAGCTATGTAAATTATTTATAAAGACCCAAAAGTTAATATTTTTATAATAATTATAATAATTATTATTCTTATAATATTTATAAAAAAAGCAAGAAATATTTTTTAGACTTGTATTATAAATTTTGATTTACTTTTTATATGAGAAACTTGTAACGAGACAAGAGACAATAGAAGAACATCTTTGACATCGATATTCAATTTCCGATGTGCGCAACAAAATACACACACGTATACAAAACAAAGCGGAGCCAAAGAGAGACGATGACGATAGAATATATGCGCGGCGCGCAGGAAGTGCAATATTCACACGTACGAATCTCTTTTCTCTTCCTTTTTTTCCTTCTCGCACGATGCGCTAAACTGTTTATCGCGCGAATCGCGCGTGCATAACTCGAGCGCGTAACTCAAGTAAAATCGCATATTTAAAGTGGCACGCAATTGTTGATTTTGAATGTTGAATACGGAAGCATGAATACGCAAACAAGCCGCTAAATAAATACGCCGAGAGTTACAACAACGAGGCGAGCGAAGGAATTTTAGGAGGAGGAATAAGAATTGGATTCGCGATCATGCGCGATACGAAAGATATCAAAAGCGAAGATACCAATCGCAAGTAATCAATCTTGGAGTAAAAATTTGTGTCAGATATATATTTCGGCGTGTTTTAAAAAATAAATCCATTAATAATTGTTTCTTTCATTTCCGGGGCGATAAAGCGATAAAAAATAATTTTATATTTATACAGTTAAAATAAAATATTGTCTTATCGTGTTATCGATACCACGATAATATATCATGCGCAATCGTTAAAAACATAAATGCTTACGTAAATATATAATTACATTATATTTACGTAAGCATACGTGCCATTAATCATCAGCGAATTAAAACATTCTTTCTTCACTTCGCAAGAAAGAAAAATAATATTGAAATAAAAAATTTCGCACAAAATGCTTCGTATTTTTAAATGTATTTATCTAACGTCGATATCTTACGTCAAATCTTACGATAAACTTACTCTATCTCATCTATTGCTAATGAAGCCTGCAAAGAAGATTACCCACAAGAACGTGGATGGAGATTCAATGTCGAGGAAACGCTCCGATTCTCCCGGATTTAGCTCCCTTCTTTGTTTTTCCGCACCGGCGAGTGAAATTTGCGATGGCATTAGCATACAGGCGAAAATTGGAACGTCTAATTGTCACATGCCTGTCGCGTCTGGAACGCTTTTTTAAAGTAGATGTACCTGAGCGAGCTCGTCTCGGAACAAGGACACGTAATTTCGATTCTGATCAAGGGATAGCATTTGCTATTGTCTCGTGGATTTTCCACCTATTTCCCTATCGTATCTCATCGTGGCGCCAGACCCAGACTAGAAGGTCTGAAAAATTTGGGAAATTGGGAAACACGAGGAAGAACTATCTATTCTTGTCGAGAACAGAATTCATAAATGCGAATGATTTGAAAACATCTTCTTGCACTTTGCCTTCGCAAATCGGATATTTTCACGGCCTTCAGGTTTTCCTTCAAAATTCTCTCAGAAAACTCTGAAAAAGTTTGATACGTTCTGTCGACAAGACGAAAAACGCAATAGTTACGTTGAAGATATTTCCTGAGTAAAAAAATCGAACGTTTCTAATTGAAAGCGTCCATCGGCTAACTAAAGATGACTATCAATATTAAGAGCTCTTGCAGCGATATTTTCAATTATCCTGGAAATAATAAAATGACATAAATCATATAGCGCGTCGTGCGTCTCTAATTTTTTTCATTCAATATTAACTGCGCCATCGCGAGTGCGCGATCAGATATAAAACGCGAATATAATCAATGACGCATAATGGCTTATTGTATCACAGGCACGAACTTTGAGCAAATATTACCTATGCAACGAGATCGTTAGAGAGAGAAGTCAGTTTTAAAAAGCACAAAAGGGCCGCAATTCCAACATTAAATAAATAAGCCGCCCTTTTCTCTGCAAAAATAGCATGACGTTTATTCGTGAAATTAACTCATTAACACCATTGACCTGTCGCGCCAACTTGTACATGTGAACGATAATTATATTTGTGTCTCTTACAAACATCATTACAAATGAACAATATTGAGGGAATAATATATAGCCGATTCTATTTTATAGACAAATATTCAAAACAAATTATATAATATCAATAAAAAGTAAATTAACGATGCATAAAATTCATGAATACGCAGACTACAATTGAACATTTAATTAATTTTATTTAATTTATAATCTTGTAACACAATAAACAGTTAATTTTCTTTCGCGTTAAAGATAATTATGAATTTCTACTTCGTTGCTATAATCGTGAATAATTAGTACAATCTCTCTTTTTTTTTAAAAGAAAGGTACACATACGCAGAAACTTACTGAATTTAATTATTTATGTTATATTATGCGGATATTTCGAGAATTGAATACTGGATACAAGGAAATAATCATTTATAAATTCAGTGAATCAAGCTTAAAACGTCACTTTGTGAATTGTTTTTGTTAGCGCCGAAACGATAAGACGCACCGTTTTTTTCCACAAAATGTTACATGTCTGACACATCACGTAAATTTGTACATAATACAACCGAATGATTCACTAGATAAGAAGAGATTATAACGATTCAGCGACATTTTGATACTAGGAAGTGTTTAATAGTCACGCGCTTATAAAAAGAGATAACATTCGAAGAACTAATTATAATTTCGTTGAATTTTATTAATCTACTAAAATTATCTCGGTCATAAAGATTTTCTTACAAAATATTCCTTTACACGTTTTAATATTCCTTAACACTACGAATTTCGCCAAATTTTAAAACAATTAAAAACAAATAGCTAGATTGAATAAAATAAATCTTTTACTTCTTTAATTTAGACTTTAACTTCTTTAGTTCAGAAGGGAAAATTTTTCTTAATTGCAAATTTTTTCGTGAATAAAGAATATAGTGATTTTCCGAAAAGATTAATTATTCACATCAAGACGAATAAAAATGTTAAACGTTACTTGTTCTTTCGAGCAAGAGAGCATATGTCTTGTTGGAAAAAGTTGTTCGCATCGTAAAGAGAAGAATGGTAAATGTTTCACTAAATATAAAAGTTGTGCGGAATTGGTGCTTAGCGCCTGCCCTACGGTCGTGAACCCTTGGCAGATGTTTCACCCCGCCGTGCCATGCCGGGAGTCACGAAAACGACCCTTGTCGCCCACATTTATGGTTCGTTTGGGGATCCTGTACCGAACACATGTCGAGCAAAGTCACGATGAACTCTGCGCAAAACAACGTGCTATAACTACGCAAACTCGTTTCATTCGTGCTTATGACACATAAATTGTCAGCCTTGTCCTTTCAGAAATCCCATCAAAGTTTTGTCGATTAGGTCCCGTAGGGGTGTCTCCGAATTAATTGAATCTAATATTGATAAAACATTACGTCGTGAGCCGATGGATTAATGCTCTTATTGTTTGATCGATCTCTCTGCTTTTCAAAGTTGCCATGAAAATCTCGAGTAAATGTAACGTGTGAAAATTGCTTATTGTAGTAACTATGATATAGAAGTATTACTATGTAAAATATGATTATTCAAATAATAAACCTAAAGTAAGTACACGACCATTTTAGATTGCGTCATATTATCATATATTCAAAGATATTTATTTCAGGCTCTAAAATAAATTATAACCATATCCCTAAAATAGATTATAATCATGTATATTTTTCTATTCAATTAATAATCTTTTCCCTACAAAATACATTATGATATGAGCATGCAACATATTCGTGCATGTATTCCATCATATGTTTATAACTTTCCCCGTTTCTACAAGAAATAAAATCGTATTTTAAACGTACAATAGAATGAGCAGTGAAAGAAAAAATTGGAAAATCTCCAACTCTTTTTTTCACGTATATAAATTGCCCAAATCCCCAGGCGTGCGGTAACTTGTGCGACGAATCTACTTGTTCGAGTTGATGTTTTCGTGCTCGTGCGTCCTTTTTTTAAAAGCGCACATGTCAAAATCCATCGCGAACATCTCAAATGAAAATCTCACGTCATGATAAGCTACGACAACGATAGATCCTTTCTAATTCTTGCTGCTGAGAACGACTTTCCATTCGATTCACGCATAGTCCTTCCGCTCCCTCTCTCTCCTTTTCTTTCTCCCCTAAGTCCTGCGGGCCGTTTGAGACCCCACGTTTTGTGATTCGTGCCAGGGGCCCTCTCCCCCGAGCGAAAGAGGTGGTGAGAGAGCACGTGTGTACCGGCGCGGCATTGCGGCGCCGCGAAATATGACCGGCGGCCTGTACGTGCCATTATGTACGAGCCTGGATTTCGACGATCGGCCGACCAACCGCTCCTCTCGTGGAGACAGTCAGTCGTTTCGAGGCCGCCGAGTTGACCGGGCGTCTTGCGGAAGAGCCGCATCGGGTCGTACTGTGTGTCTCTTTCTCTCTCCCCATCGCTTCGCTTCTCTCTCACGTCGATCCCTTCTTTTGTTGGCTACCCCATTGCGAGTTTGGTACAGCCGGCATCGAGAACCATGGCGGGTACTGTAATCACGACGATTGCAATATTGCTAGCGGTGATCCGTAAGTCAACATGACGCAATTTAGAACGTTTAGAACTACCTGAATGACATATGCTGTTTCGATGTGCATTGTATATCGTATCTTTATTTATATCGTTGCTCCGAAAATAAATGACACATTTACATGCAACCAAACTCGTCCAACGATTATTTTATTACGGAGCAAGTATGGCTTTTTAGGTTGGCTGTTTATGAATAACTCGAATTCGGATTGTTTCTAAGTGAAAATATTTGAGTAATATATATTAAATGAATGCCTTGCTCCAAAATCGTCCCATTACTCCAACAAAGAAATGAATTAAAATCAATACTATTTTTGTAAGGATTATAGAGATTTTACTTTTTTTAGCCTTGATCAGTAATGTTTGTGGCGTAAATCAAATGACAGCTTTTGTTGACAGCTCAACACAATGTTACGCGAGGACATAAATCACCGTGGTAAGAATGATGGCGATTTGCAAACAGTGTGAAAGCGAGAAGCTCCGCAAAAGAAACCATTATCGATCTTGTTTTTTGAAACTATATCTTACAGGAAACAATTAACAGATCGTGAAATCCGAGTCTAGAATAATTTTCTCGGACGTGGTAAAACCTATAGGGGTGCGCCTTGTGCATTGAAAAACTACACGCTCCTCTAATAGACGTATCGATTTTCTTTTTTCGTCACGTCGTTTCTCCGCTTGGCATCACCAAAGGAAAGATGTCTTCTCCGAGTCGAGTGTTAAATCCTGAATAAAGTTTACATTGAGTTTAACGAGTAAAATCTCTGAAACCGAAACTCAAGCATAAAACTGAGAAATTTTTCGCAAATAAAAATCAAGAGAGATAAAACTTTTTAAAAAGTTTTCCAACGACAAAGATAATAATATCAACATACCGTCGACCTGAATGAGCAAACTGCTCAACGTATTGTGATTTTACGATCCAAGACTTTTTATAGATCATGTTGATTCAAATGCCCTGGCATGTTCAATGTTACGGTGAGCAAATAAATTCCAACGAAAAGATATTTCTCCAAGCGGAAAGTTTCACAATTTAATTCAATTTACGCTTTAATACCTTAATCAAGGAAAGGAGAGGTGAGAAACTTTACGAAATCCGTGAGCGGTCGGATAGTTAGTTAAACCGTGATTGTAGTCAATTAAAAAAATTTTCTAAATTTTCGCTCTACACTTTTGTTTTTGCCTAACATTTTCTCGAAGCATTAATTCGAACTCGCGATCGCCATTAAAAGCCGAAAGAGAGCTTTCATCAAACCGAGAGAAATAAATTACAAGATGATAAAGGATACACGGTCTGAAGACCGCGATGACGCGTAATAAATCCTCGTCTCCCAATCGATCGCTAATAATTCTCACGGAGATGACGCACGCCGGTAAATGTATATACGTTCGCGAACTCGGTGAGGTGTCTTTACGGTGAGCGTCTTACATTAAATTAGTTCTTAATTTTAATTGGCACCACCGCCCGATGCATGACGCAATTAATCCGGACACTTGGGGATATTTATCATGCATGACTGACGCGCGTATCTTTCTCTTTTCTTCCTCTTCCTACTTCCGGCTTGTCATACATTCCTTTTCTTTCCTTTCAATGTGGACGTCATTTCCTTCATTTATGATACATGAATGATACGGAACGATTGATCTCTACCGAAACAATTGATGTAATTATTTGTTAAAAGATAGCGGCAAGAAAGCATATTTTTCAACTGCATCTTTCATTGTCATAATATTTCGCTAAAAAGGGAATTGATCAAAGATTCGATACCTCCCACGATGCTAACGTGCTTGCTTGTAAACGAAGCGTTCGCGAAAATAGATTAACGTCGTGACCGGGACGATATCGATGGCATATAAGTTACAGCATATCACGAGCACGAAAATAGTACGAAAATAAACTGTTTTTAGCACTCCTTTGCCCGATCATAGCAACGATTTACGAATACAGATGGTATAAACAGACAGCGCGAGAAAATACGAAAATAACAAGACCGATGTAATCTCTAATCACAAATATTTCGATACAACGCAAATGAGGTGTCTACCGATCCGGAATATGATAATGACAGATCGATGCACGTGCCAGCATATTTTTCTCTGGAATCAGGATAAGAGACACGTAAACAATTAGTGTAAAAAGGTTTAAAACTCTCGGGGATGAGATCTCGTGACGTAAGTGAGTCTCATTACGAAAATGAATGGGATAGGCAACGGTGATTGCCAAAGGAGGCAATTAATTAGCTATTTATATCGGATTCAGCGATAACGCCGCATAAATTTGAAATTTGTAATCCATGAAACTTAACGAGGCCTCACGACGCATGTCAACAATCTTCGTTAATGACCTGTATTTTCGTTGTGAAATGTATTAATATCAAATATACAATAATTCATCATCAACATTATCATGTTATTTCACGGCGCAAGTCATCATGACTCAAACGGACACCAACATCGAAATGACAATCGCGTTGAAAAGTAAATCGCATTGCATTTCGCTGCAAAAGCAAAACACTAATGGCAATGAAAAGCAAGATCGCATCAATCGCGCGAACATCCAGACCGAGTACAATGACTCGTCATGAATAATTCGTATCGAGAAGCGTTATAACGAGAGATGAAAACAAGCGTGGTGTTGGATCGCGATGTTATTACGCAGCGCGTTACAAGGTTACTTTGATACGATATTGAAGCGTCTGTAAAATCCTATATTGCAAATAAATTATCGAGAAGTACTTATTCGAAAAAACAATCATTCCGATGCCACATGACCGTGCCATAATCTCGCTTTAATGTACATTAATATAATGTATATTTTTATCGCATTTCGACAAAAAGAATATACCTCATGTGAATAAAGATACTGGTATCACACAGTACAATTTCCTTATCTGTGTATTGGAGACGCCAATCAATTTTATTCGACATCACCTGAATGGAACTCGCCAGACGACATAACATCGTTTATGTGAAATGGGAAAAAAATACCGAGCTGATAACAGCCTGTTTATTCGTGATAAGCAGAATAAATTCATCGTTCTGATGTACTCTGGAATGCAAGTATTATACACGTTTGGTATGTGAAAAATTATGTCCAAATATGTTTGACTGAGATATAAAAATTAGAAACCTTCCGTAGGTCGTTGACTTTGGAGTAGAAGTCGAAACGCTCGCGAATCTGTGTGAATCATAATTTGCGATCTAGCATGGGCAGAAATCGAAATAAATTGTCATCGCGTTAAAAAACGATAATCTTTGACGCATTAAAGGGCAATTGATATTTCTAAATAAAAAATATTAATTTATAATTACTAAATACATAATCGATTGAGTAAATATTTATTTAATACATATTTAATCATTTTAAGTATTTTTCTTTTGTAAGACATCAAATGATTCATGTTATCTCAATTCTAAACCAAAAACTCTCAGAAAAGAAGTTTAAAGAATGTTTTTAGAAATTATTAGCCTGTACTTACGTCTGAATTCATCAGGTAGCCGTATTTTCATATTTAATCAGTAAATTCAAACAGCAAGTTTTGATATCAAATTTGGAATTAATATTCTACACGTGCGATCCGCGAGGTTAAATTCTGCGAAATCTTTAACTTGGTTTTCAAACTTGGTTAAACTTTTAAACTCAACGTAATCAATGATGTAAATCGGTAATTGTACCTCAAACTCCGTTATAATTTAATATCAACTAACAGAAGATTTTTTGATAAAATAGCAATATATAATAAATGGCAAAAAATTGCTTTCAGAAGTCAACTTTTTTAATAAAATTGAACAAATTTTGTCGCATATATTAATGAGTCAAACCTTTACATTATAATGATATACTCTTCACTACTTAAACCAAGCCGACTGTTAATAGACTATCAGTCGACAGAAAAAGTTTAAAGTTGATTTCAAAGTCAGATTAAATGTCAACTAACAGCCGACAAATGACTCGATTATAGTCGACTATTAGTCAACCGATAAATTGACTTAAAAGTCGACTTATTATTTTATGGCGATTATAAGTTAATTTTTAACCAATTTAATGTTATCTATATTACTTACTCGGTGTGTAATATTTCTGAAACATTGCAATGTTCCATTTGAAATATTAGCAGTATTACAGAAATATTTCACGATTATTTCTGTAATATTTCTGGAATATTTCAATGTCCGTCTTAATTATTTCGAATGCAATATTATTGAAAGATTTTTAGTAATATCTCGGTAATATTATTAAAATGTTATTCTTTTTGTTTCTGATAGACAAATATCTTTGAAAACTTGTAAAAATATATAAATATCCTCGCAATAGAAATACTTTAATATACGCAATAAATGGGTTATTTCCCATTTATTCCGTTTACCTTCAAATAATATGTTCTTTTTTTTTTTTAATATTTCAGATGTAAAGTTACAATTGAAATGTTAATGAAATATTTCTGTACCATTTTTGAACATTACAATATTTTAGTAATATTACATATCGAGTGGGTAACTAATAAGTTTTTCTTTTAATAATGACATTTTTCAAAAACATGATCGATTTAATTTTATTGTACTTTAATTATATAATATTGTGTTACATATAATACAATTAAAGAAGAATAAAATTAAATTAACCAAGTCTTTGAAAATGTCCATTTAATTTAAATAATAATAATTATAATAGGTATGCATATATATATATATATATATATATATATATATATATATATATAAACATGGAACAATGTATCGAAAAAGCAAAAAAAGAAATGATCGAGTTGACAAAAACATCTTTTTTGTCTTTTTTGACAAAAAGATTTTTATTTTTCAATCGATTTTTCGTGTTACCAAAAAAACGACTTTTAATTTCTTGAATATATTCGACCTTTAATCGATTATTTAAGTCGACAATAAACCATGCTAAAAATAGTTGACTAAACGTCGATTTAAAAAGTCGACTTCAAGTCGATTAAAAAATGTCGACTATCAGTCAGTCTTTCGTGCTATATGTCATGCGAGTGGCTAACATGCTCTGATATAATCCGACATGACCGCTTTGGTGTCTTCTGATAACAAAATTCCATTTCTGAACTATTAAAACTTACGTGAAACCTCAGCAAACATTGAAAAATAATCAATTTAGAAAAACACGATCATACTTTACTTAAAAATATATGAGATATACGCTCGCAATTTAAACAGTTTGGAACAAGCATGACAGATGGCCTATCAGCTGTTTGTAAGATTGCCTGTACATTATTATTTATCATCGACATTTTACACTTGGTATCACAATACATAAATCACTTCATGATTATGCAATTCATTCTACGAAATTAATGTAATGGCTACAATTCGTGGTAATGTAATCTTCAACATTTGTAATCTTATTCTTCGTCTTGGAAGATAATCGAATATACAATCATACATTGTTAGCATTACATAAATAAATATTTAAAATCAGTAATTTAATAATATATTTCTCGATGCTCTCATTTCAAATATAACTGATAAAATAACTAAAAAGAAATGAAGTATAATTTTTTATATTCTGCCCAAATCTTTCTCGTCTGCTGGACCAAAAATATCGATTATATCAAACAAGTTTCAGATTCCTATAAATAATTTTTTGATAGTCAAGTGATCTGTTCTGCATTTCCATAGAACTAGTTTGACTAACATGAAATTTCGTCACGTAAATCCGCGAGATATCGGATTCCATTTAAAGTTCCGAATTGCTGCTCACGAGCAGTCGATTTCTACTTTAATCGAGACTCAAGTTCGCTGATAATATGTAGATGCGGCCGTAAGTCACGCTTTGTCAGTCTTCGGCTGACTAAGGCAAAATCCGTCGAAACGAGGTCCCGCCTCGTCGGAGGATGACCCGAGACTTCAGATGCACATTCTAAGCGGAAGAGAACGGCGGTAGTAGCGGTTATTTGCAAACTATACGCGGCGCAGTGACGCGTGAAAGATGCTTTTATCATCCCACGAGGGCATTGGAATTCTTTTGTACATCGCGAGAGGCAGCCAAGCCGCCGGTGGTGCTGTTCACGGAACTGGAAGCCTGATTTGATTTCACTGTTGCATCCTCGTTGCATCCACGACACAATGTCACAAGCTAAGAAAATACGGGCCGCAATGACGGGTCTGTAATTCGAGATATTGCACAGCCGAAAAACCGATATGCAATTCGTGACATTTTATAGTGAAACGAGAATGCGATAAAAATTGACGCTCAGGTTGGAAATATCGGAAGTTGTTAAAACGAAATTTTACACGGGACAAATACTGGTGAATGTTTTACACCGAAATACTGGTGTAAAAGTTGTTTTCCCATATGTTTTAAATGTGTAAATTTATATATGTCCATACATATATCTGTTTTTTTTTCTTCTTATCCGTCTTTCTATTTAATATTACAGATGGATAATATATGTATACATAGGAAAATATACTATTATTTCATGAATCATAGGTCATTTAACTGAAACGAGAGAATATGATAATCTTGAAGATAATCTTTTTATAATTAAATTTTTTAATTATAAAGAGAGCCTCTTATAATTAATTTTTTTAATTTTTTCTTTTTTTTTACTACGCCCCACCCCCTCAAATAGATTACACGCAAATGTATTGTTATCTCAAGAGAAATTTCATAATTGCAAAATCAAATTTATTAATCAACCAATGAATCAAGCAATGAAACTTCTATTTCTAACTTTAAGAGAGCTTCTTATAATTAAATTTTTTAATTTTTTCTTTTTTTTTACTACGCCCCATCCCCTTAAATAAATTACACGCAAATGTATTGTTATCTCAAGAGAAATTTCATAATCGCAAAGTCAAATTTATTAATCAACCAATGAATCAAGCAATGAAACTTCTATTTCTAACTTTAATTAGTTCACTTCGCGTGCACGAAGTGGATGTTTCAATTTGTGGAGGACTCTATTGCAACACTATGTTATACAATAGATACACGTGAAAGACGTCGCGCTTGCGTTTTTTAAATTAGATATTTCCGGATCGGTAAAAACATACATCGACGTTGAATGCACCTCACGCTATGCGTTTCAAAAAATAAAATATTTACCTTCGCCAGGTCATGTGACGCGGAAGAATTTCACGATTCCAACTGTATAATAATAAAATCATGCGCGGTGCAACGGCACGGATAACCTCGAGAGAACAGATGATCGGTTGTCCAACGAATTAGTTGGCCTGAACTCGACCAGTTCAATCGCCTCGATCTTCTAGTATTCGGTCGCGCAAGCAAACCTCGTAACAAAAAAGAAGGACCGCTCTCACGGTTTTCCCTCGTGGCTAAACCGGTTCGAGCACAGTACGGCCCCTGTATAGAACTGCCGTACCGGAAATGGCCGTTTCGTAGACATTGTAGCGATGATAGGTCTGATAGAACGTGGGGGGGGGGAACTCGGATTTTGACAATGTACGCAAGGATGTACAAACGAATACGCCTATATTGAACGAGACTCCAAGAAAGAAGACCTTCAAAAGGTACTTGCTACGTCTCATGAGTGAAGAATCAAAACGAATTTAATATGGCGTGATCAATTCAAATCATTCAACTATTTGCTGACTCATCCCCTTGCTATCGTGTGTCTAAGTACACGAATGAGCATTAGCTCGCCGTAGAAATGTCATTAAATTAACCTGGGAGTGGTCGCGAAAGTTTGTTATCACTCGGCAAATACAATTTGCTCACGACATTTCTTCTATCCAGTTGTGAGTTAATTTCTCTCGTATTACGTCCCAAGTGATATATGAATATTTTATATCTCCGTATAACGTATATAGGTATCATAAAAAAATGTGAAATTTCCACAGAGATGCAATTGTAACGCGCAAGTATTGTTCGCAAAAAAATGCAAATATTCGCATAGTTCGATAGTATATTATTTGAACTGCAACGGAAATATACGGATAGAAGGCTACTAATGTTTTCAAAAAAGCCGACCCAGCATCTCTTTATTGACCGACCACATTTAGTCCATGATCACTGGATCGGAAACGGGTCAATCGGAATCATTGGCGCGGCCTAGCTATCGATTCTTTGCACGAATAGAGTTTTTCAGAATAACTTTGCAAAAAATAAATGACTAATCTCGAATAACTTAATAAGCATATTAATTTAATCCGACCAATCTGCGAGTCTACGCGATAAAAAGATTTTCCGTAAAGTTTTTGCTCTGGCTAGAAACTGGTGGTAGACAAGGAACAAGCATTGCTTTAAATCGTGAGGCAATTAGTCACTGAAACTTTTTTTATCATGGTCGGTATTAAACTTTAAGTGACACCCGCATTGTCGAACGCAGCATGCCTATAAAACCGCTATCGTTTTCTCTTTCAAAGAACAAAACCAGGAAGGAGAATTTTTAATCAAGAGATACATTTGCCTTCATATTTCTCGTCTGGCCGCGAATTTCACTCACTTCTGGTATTTTTATTTATATCGAACTTAATTTTAAAGATCAAAGCAAATTTTTGCCGTACTTGGTCCTGCTGCTGGCCGTTCATAAAAAGACCCAGTCAAAAGCGAGGCCAATCGCCCTCGTAATCTGTTCGAAGGGGTCATTCGACGCGTAAGGTTTGCTCACCACATGGCTCGGAATGCACCGGAAATGGTAGCCCACTAGAAAGAGAGAACCGTACTGTGGAATTTTTCGACGCAATCCCGTTATTAATTCATACAGACGCGTCCCCGAGCGAGCGCCGATTTATTTTCCCCGACTACGTACGGCGCTCTGTGACGTATGTAATTCGCTTCTATCGATATTTACGCCGCCAAGCGAATCGACAAAATGAAAAAAAAAAAGAAATATTTCGCCGGAAAGAGCAATATATACATTATATACGTGTATACATTATATAAGTGTATATCTCGGCGAGATGACCCCCGGATTCGTGGCCGCTCGGCTCGCCAACCGACGATGGTAGTTGGCAACCCCTCGTGACAAATGAACGTGATTATATCGATCGAACGGCACAATAGAAGGAGAGCGAGCAGGGTTCTCTGTCGTCTCCGAGAGAACAGCCGGTTGCCGCGAGAAATTCTCGAGTCCTCGCTCAATTATGAAGCGAATATTGGGTCATGGTTCGCGCGGTCTCGGGAATACTGATGGAGAGAAGGTCAAGTCCGCGAGCGCTACCGATGCAAATGCGAAACACGATCTGATAAAATACAGCTTAGTGGCTTCCCGTGTTTCAGAGGCTGCCCTGTGCAAGTCCAACGATGTCTCGCCGGATCCGACCAAGTTCTTCCCCGACGTCAAAGGCAATCTCACGAAGATTGTCTGGGCGCACGCCGTCAATAATCGGACGAAATTGATCGAAGCACTTTCGTCAGGTAGGTTGATCGCGATTCGTAGCCTAAGTTTCCCCCGTTTTTTCCATTTATTGCACTCGAGAGATGGAGAGAAGAATGACGGCACTCTGATTATTCTCGCGTGTTGAGATATCGCCGGCATTGTCGTAAGCGTCGAAATTGCTTTGAAGGTATTGGACGCGGTTTTAATAAGCATCCCATTGTTTTTGCAGATAGGAAAAATTTTTAATTATTAAACTGCTGCTTTCTTTTCATGTAAAGTCACGACATCATTAAAATTTTAACGGACCTTCAAATTAATATATTTTTTAATTTAAAGTCTAAATATGACGGTCATAATGCATTTAGAAGAGATTTATTTAAGATTTATTTAAGGCAATATTTAGATGAAAAAAAATAATAAAGAAATAAAGTATTATATTTTTATATTTTTGAAGCATGAAGACGAAAACTAATATTAACACGCTAATAAAATTGCAAAAGATGATAATGACATAAAATTCTTTAAATAATTCACATCAGCAAGCAGCAATTGGTAGATCTGATAGGATAATAATTGATAAGAGTGCAATATTAAATAGTACGAATAATTTAGATATGCATATCTATCTACGAAACGGCACCTTGAACTATTTTGATTGCAAACGTGCAACAGTCACGATAATTATTTAATGTCAAAAAATCGGGAAATAGCCTCGACAAAACGTCGCGTCCCGATAAGATATTAATTTATTATAATTTTGCTATTTTCATCGACCATCAAGGTATTAATAATTAATGAACTTGGTAGAGTTTTGCGACATTAATCTTCAATGCTGACGCTTTTTTGCATTTGTCTCACTCTCATGGATATCCCACATCGAGATATGTCTTTGTGTCAACCCGCATGATGACATGTATTTTTACATTGGCGCGCTTTAAATAATGGTGTGGGATGTCCTTGAAAAGTGCGCTCACAGAAATATCGACAGCAAGGGAGAGAAAGCTTTATGCAGTATCCGCTTTACAAGATTTATCTCATACGCCTTCACAAAGCAAGTCTATATAAAATATATAAGTGACATTGATTAAGTCTCGTATTTTCGATAGACATCTTCCCCTTCGATATATATATGATGTACGTACATTTTATATCTCGACACGGAATATACGCCAACTTTGAGCTCGAAACTTTTCTCAAACTTCGCGCTTCAACTCCGAAGAAAAAAAAATTCAAGTCTTCGTATTTAAATTTCCTATTTCCGTACGATTGAATCCTTGTAGATAAGTCGTTTGTACGCAGTCACGTCCGATGCAGAGTTTTCGGAAAGGTACATTCGTGCCTCCGTTGAATCTCAATAAAGTGCCAAAGTGCAAAGTAATCACGAATGAAGAAAAACTCACTTTCGATTTTTCAACTTCATAATTTAATTCCGCGATTATATCTTTCACACACACACAATGACAAAAATATTATTGAAGCTCAAAATTCTAAATGTCTTCCTCTCCCTCCTCTCTCCTCTTTGCCGATAGATTATACATACTTTCTTGCATATTACTACACATTATCAAATTATCATAATTTCTATTACATGAAGAACGTTCAGCTTCTCTTATAATTCCCCACAAAGAGTCGCTTTGATATTCACAAAAGAAACATTCTAGGTCGTAAAATACTTCTCGTTTCTTTTCGAACAACTTGACAATTTGACGTCAGCCTGTGTAGTCCATCTTCTGTAGTCTCCATCATGAAAAAGCCAGGATTTTCGGTCATTTGAGCTTCAACACTAACGGACGTGTGGATCCGGCAATCTTCCAGCCTCTTTAGGGCATGATCGATATTCCCTGCACGTATATGCACATACCAGAACTCTCCTCCCGCTCAGCCGGTCGTCTCAAGCTATGCCTCATATACGCTTATATGCACACACACGTACATACATACAAATACATACGAACGAACAGACAACCGACTTTCCTTTTTAAAGAGGATATCATGATGCTGGAAGCCGACGTCGTTGTTGGAAACACTGGCAATCAAACTGATATCCCGATAATGGCGCATCCACCGGACAAGGAGAGCGATCTATCACTCGAGAATTTTCTCAACTTCACCTATCACAATAACAAAAAGGGCATTAAACTGGATTTTAAATCCGATGAAGCATTCACGAAGAGCAAGCCTATTCTCAAAGAATTTCGAGAAAAAGTATGTATATTTTTTTTAATTATGTAAAACATGTTTTTGAAAAATAAAACACATAAATAAAACATGTATTCATTTCAGCTAACGTTTCCGGTATTCCTGAATGCGGATATTTTTCCTGGACCTGGGGGGAACAATACTATTCCGCTTAATGCGACAGAATTTCTGAAAGGAGCTAACGAAACTATACCACAGAGCATCATCTCCGTCGGCTGGACAACCAGGTAAACAACTATCGAGACGCACTTGTGTGAACAGAGTAACAGCAGTTTCTAATATATAACCTTGTAATTAATTAACCGTATAAGCAAAGAAATATACATATATCGTGGCCATGGCATCATCTCTTATAAAAAGAGGGAGTTATAAATATAAAGTCCCTGAGAAGAGATAATCAACTTAGCGCTTTGATAAAATACATATGTTGGATGTACGTCAATGCCAAAGACGTATATTAATAAAAATGTTTAAAGAATCAACGGATAAATAATAAGACAGATTTAGAGAAAAATCATCACTATTTGCAGAAAACAAAATTTTTATCAAGTTGCTTGATATTTAAATAAAAATATTAATGGGCACATCGATTAAATTGCATTTGTAAATTTTGTTTTTTTTTTTATTCAATCTATAAATGCTAACAAAATAATGAAAATAAAATAAATTTTTATCTAGCCATATATTATAATATTATTACGACTATTATATTATTACGATTGATGTTTAACTATCTGTCATATTTTAGATATGAAAAGAACAGCACCGAGGGTCGATACAGTTCGGAACAGCTTCAATCCATGATCAACGCTCTTAACAAGAATAATGTTACCCAATCGGTAACTTATCCCGTACGAGCCGTCTTCGCAGCAAACGATATCGATGGCATAAAAACGTTGTTGAAGAACACGACGTTCACCAAGGCGACACTAACGATCTGGTCGTCGGAGGGCGATTCCGTCGATGCCGCGAACCTTTCGAAATTAATCAGAGATGTGGGACTCGATAAGGTCTACGTGGACGTGCCGGAAGATCTAAAGAACAAACTCGAACTCTCGGCTGCATCCACGAGTTCCATGAGTTCCATGATGATAAACCTGGGCGCGTCGTCCATGGCGCTCCTGGTCCTCTTGAGGATGCTGTGAAATCCTCTTGAGGCTGCTGAAGAACGTAAACGTCGAGAGTAGACTTGTGACGAGATTCGAGAAAAAAGGAGCCCCAATCTCCTTTCATCTCGTGAATCTTGATAAAAGAAATACGAGCGAACGACAGAATCCGATAACGATCACATGTTGTGAATATCACTTGATTACTCTCGCGATCGTTTCATCGGATCTCTGCCCGATTCATCGTGGCTATACTTTCTAAGACGTACCTCTGAAAATACTCGATTCGTCGCAACAAACACAATTTCCACAATATATCCTAAGAATCTTCCCCGCGCAAAATTATCAATACATTTTGTACTTAAAATCGGATTATTCAAATGACACGATTCCGTTGAAATGCAATCTTTTACAATATATTTGACGCGGTATAAGTTACATAACGTTACGTAAAAAGGCATATATCGACGTAGGCGTATCGATTCACATATCGCGAGAGTAACTTTAATACCTGTTAAAAGAATATTCTAATGCTATGTACCTACTGTTAATTAATGTCGACAAAGTTTCTTAATATATTGCATCACGCTTCGTTAAAGAAATACACTGATACACGGAACGATCGTAGACCGGTCGCACATTTAAAAGAATCATTGTATAAAGTATATACTCGTAAAAAGTGCGCATCTAATAAATTTCTTTTATCTTTTTTTCTGAGAGCGTTATGAAGAAAAGGCATTTTATGTGCAACCTTATATTAAGTGCTACGTGTATTGTACTTGCCGCGCACATTCATCGTGTTTAATGTCCCTTTGCAATATTCACCGTATTATTCTCTATACCTGCGTTAACATATCTCCGATCTAGGTACAGCGAAAGATAATATTTAGTCTCTATGTAAACTACATATCCAAGCCAAAGGATTAAAAATGCAGTATACGATGTGAGTGCATTGCGTTTGATAACGAGTCAATAAAATAATGCATAAAATTATCCAGAAAACCTTTGCGAGATTATTTATTCCGAGGGAGTGTCTCATTTCTAGTGTAAAATACTTTCAGCCTCAGATATTCATAAATTGTACATTAAATCAAACGAAACTCAAACTTAAATTCAATGATATCTAAAAATTAGAGATTGTAATCTCTAATTGAATGGAATGCCAGTCTCATTAAAATCTATGTTATCGTAAAAATTATAATAAAATAGTTGATATGATTTGCTCATTCAATAGAATCTCTATCGCTGCCATTGTATGCAATTATCTATGAAAATGAAATGCAAACGTCCGATGCGCACAGTGACTATGAATGAGGTAATCTAATTTTGTCAGAAGAAAATAATGGCATATTGTGCGCTGCAGCCTCTATTATGTTGATGCATAGTTTTTCCTTAGCGTTGGCAGACTTATGTATGCGACATTGAACGCCAGTAAAACCACCATGTATCCGTGATGACAAAGACTAGCAGCCTTTAAACAGACCACTTTCATTTTCGTGAAGCTGTAAAGATTATTACAAAGAACCGTCTGTTTATGAACTACCAGCTGCGGTTGTTCCGGTTAACTGGAAGGAGTTAAAAAAAGTCGGAGCACTAAAAGGTTCTCATCAGCGATGTTTGCATTTTAAATACGGAGTATAAACCATATAGGATCCACCCTGTTTGCTTTCCTCGTGTTTGTCGTCTAGTTATCTTCGAAGTACTTCCGTTCTCGCTACTCGGCGTAAAAGTGGTTTCAATGTTCGTTTATCGATCGAGGAAATTATAAAATAATGTTATGCTTGTCGACAAAGAGTGTGAACAGCTGTTACTTAAAATTTTCTCAAATTTCCCTCGAGATTGGACTTCATTTTTTTGCTTAAAATAAAGTTTATATCGCGTGGATTATGAATAAGTAAATTTTCAGATGGACCGAGTTATAGTTCCGGAGGAAACGACCGGTAAAAAATATTTTTAGGCGTAAAAATTAAAGTTTTTACAAGATTGAAAATTAAATAAGCGATAATTCGATCCTGGAAACTTGCATATTCGTAATCCACGCGTCACAAATTATTTACTTAAAGGCCAAAAACGAAGTCCAGTTGGGAAAATTTTGAACGACAGGCTCATGAACGTTTACCCGCACTCTTTATCAAACGTATTTTAGAAAGGGAGAGAAGAAGACCAACGAACGTCCTTCGTTGCAGTCTCGGCAAACACACCATGACGGAAACTTATTGCTGTCTCCGGAATGTCGAGCCTCTCGCGAAGTGACAAAATCGACGCTTTCTCTCTCATCGGGGGGGAGGGGGGGGAGATGCCACGTTTGACGTCTCAAGGTGAACGTGGTGAAAGAGGAGCCGTATCGGCGAATGTACCGTGGAAGGTGTCGTCGTTCGAGAGATGTCAAAGGTCGCGGCGACGATGTATCAGCCTCGCGGCCTTGGAGGATACAGAAGAAGAAGGTTATTGTGGTTATCGGATACCGAGACGCGCGTTCTTTGTCGCCCCTTTCGCAGGCTGCCACTCAGCAGGTGCACCGTGCAAAATGGGATTCTCTACGTGCGCGGCGAGAGAGCGGCGATCATCAGATGAAAGTGTATCTGAGATTGCGGCGGCCGCGGCGGGTGTTCCACGCGTTGCTATTTTTTTGGTTCGTCCCAGTCTCTACCCCTACCTCTGCACCCTCGCAATCGTTTTTAGAATGTTGGGAATAATTTATTTCTGTAACTAAGAAAATCAAGAGAATTTATGATAAATACGCATCTTGAAGATTCACACTGTTATCATATTCATAAACGTTAATATTATTTAAATATAAAAATAATATAGAGATAAAGATTAATTAAAATTTTTCCGTTACATATTAAATGTAACGTAAAAGTTACAAGCCCGCTCAAATTATCTATTATCATAAATAGAATTATATTATCACAAATAGAAACTGATATTTCTTTGAAATGGCAAAGTGACCCAAAAGCATAATCTCCACTGATAACCCGGCTGAACTTTGTTAAAAATGCGAAATCAAGAGATAACGAAAGTAAACGTGTGATATTATTACGTCGACAAGTCGAAATAATTTTTGTTTTTAATTTATAATATGGATTTAAATACGTACGCCATCACATATATTCAATAATTTCTAACATTATAAATCATACTATCGGCACATCAATGTGTGAAATATTCAAAGATTTAAATGAGCTAATGAGATATTAATACTCCGATGTATTAATTTTGCGAAATTGTAGTATATCACTCGAATATAGATAGATAGTCTTAAATAACTATTAAGATATGATAAAAAACAAGTCTGATGTTAGTCATTTAGTACGTTAGAAATAGATACGACGAAGAAATAATCATTCTTTCGAATATTTTCGAAAGAGAAAAAAATCTGCGAATCTTTTTACGTCTTTTCCTTCCGAGTAATTTTTGTAAGAAGCCATAATTATTTAAATAATAGGCGACAATAACTTCTAAGACCGATATTTATAATCGATCGTTAGTTACGTTTCCATTAGAAAATTCAAAAACGCATAATTATCTTCAACTTTGAATTTATTAATTGAAAAAGACGTAATAGGCTTTCTTGCATAAGAAAACTGAACAAACAAGATATCGCCCTGCATACAAGCGACCAACGAGTCACGGATCTTTAAGTCGGTGACTTATGGAAAACTATGCGTGCATTCGAACCCACGCGCTTGTTTTGTAAGTAGAACAAATCGGTACCTCCGCGTCTGTCTGTCTTGGCACGAAAGCCGCGCTTAAATCCGCGTGACTAATCTCGTTTCGTGTCCACGAAAATCTTGATGAAACTCCACGTGATCGCATGCCCTGTCATATTCTATGAGCGTTCCGTATCTCAACGAGCGCACAAGTCGAGAATAAGCCGGAATCACGGAACAAAATCTTTGTAAATGTACACTTATTGTCCGCTCGCGTAACGAAAATTTCTCGTGATATAGACTTGTGCGGCAAAAAACAAATAACGTACTCTCTTAAAGAAAATTTGTCTATCACGACTGATTGCGAGATCACTTTTCAACAAATAGTCGGTGATCTCAGTTACAAGTATTGCAATCTCAGTGAGAAAGAAAGTTAACGATAATAGCTGCAATCTGTTGATATTTTATAAAGTGCATCTCTTATATAAATATAATATTATATACTAAATAAATTTATAATATATTTTATTTAAAAAATATCTCAGTTTTTGTGATTAAGATTTATCAAATTTTAAGAGTAAAATAATATATCTCCTTCTCAAAACAAATTAATTATATTGTTTTCGTTTAGATATGTATGAGGAAGCTTCTCAAAAGTAGCAATTTAAAACAAATTAAAGAACCTTAAAATTACAACTTACAAATGTATGTAATTATTACTGATTTTTCAATGAAATTTTATTGTCATAATTATTGAAACATAAATTAAACGAGGAAAATATGTTTTTACTAAAAATCGCAAATAAACTCACTGATCCGCAATGAAATTTTTGTCACTGTTTTAATCAGTGACATTTTCAGTTTAAGAGAATAAAGAGATCAAATATAACGAGATTATTCATCTGATCACCTATGGTGAAGCTGAGCAACGAGAGTATCTCAAGCGGTCCGCATATGCGAGAAATTCGTAAAAGAAAAAAAAAAGAAGAACACTCTTCTTCTCTCTCGCCCCACGATTCCCATTTATTTAACCGGACGCACCTGGTGTCTCACCTCGTTTATCCGGCAGCGTGCACGATTATGCGCATTCTACGCACCAGCACACTCGCGAATTCTGGGCGCGAATGCGATTTAATCGTTATTTTACGTCGACGCGCTAACGAGTATCCGTTTGTCCACCCGGCAAATCTCGACAAATGGGTACAAATTAACGCGGACGAGCGTCGACGAGGCGTGAAAGCAAAATAATTAGAGAAATCCGCCGACGCACAACTGTTAAACGCCGCGTGCCGTGACCGGCAGATTCCACGTTGTAAAATCAATTTTACAACGCCCTCGTACCGTGGCCAACAGCGTTATTGCATAACCCACTCTCGACATTTAGGAAAACAAGCTTGGCGTGAAACATTTTAATGATCCTACGACGTAAGAGTAATTTTGATTCCCTCGCATCCCACGTGTTTCGTAAGATGAAAATTCTGATTCTCATCGACACGCGGGGCATCATAATGACTATGTAAGGTAAGTTTCTCTTCTCGCAAAAAATTCGAGAACCTAACTCTGAATAACGCCGATCATGCTGATCTTTCGTAAAACGTATCGACGAATCGTGCGGATTATTAAACGCGAATGCACTAGAGAATCAGTCGACCACAGTTTCTCCTGACAGGTCCTTCAATGATTTCAGATGCTTGACGCGTCTCACGAAGTGTTTTCCTCTCTCCAGCTTCCTGGCACGTCGGGGAAGATCCGGATGACATGTCGGCGACGTTTCTTCGCCGACAGATTCGCGCGTTACATCAGTCGATCGATCGGACTGGAGGAATGTAATGCGGTAGCCGCGAAGAGGGAGGAAGGCTGCCGTGTTTATTTATCGTCGTAAGCATCGCTGGTCGGCTTAAAGGAGCGACAAAAACCGCCCGCCGACCTCCGTGAGCGACGAAAAAGCAGTCCTCGTTGTACCGGTTGCAAGATCGGCATCAACGATCGTATCTTCCTTTCCTCGCATGCCCTCTCGCAGTCCTCTCTCCTCTACATCTTTCTCGCGATATGCGACTTCCTCTTCTTTTTATACACGCGAGTTCTTTCTCTCTCTCTCTCTCTCTCGCTCCCATTTCGATCCGGATTTCGCGGCATCGTCGTCTACTCCAACATCTCTGAATGGCGGTGCGAAAGTGAATGGAACGCCCGGCGAAAAGACCAGCCGGTCGACTGTCGTTCGACCCAGACGATCGTAAAATCGAGAGAGACAGGCTCGCGGTGTCACAGAAACGTACGTCCCGCGCGTTACATCGTAAACGTGAAGGAAGAGCGGAGGAAGAAAGAGATTCCCGCGAGGGATTAAAATCGGAGCGTTCTTTTTAGCACTCGCCTGATATCTCCTTTGACTAAAAGCACCGGTGACGGTTGGATAATCGCGTGCAAAAAAAATGAATTTCGCGTAAGATAAACGGCGCATTTAACATCGGCCATCCATTAGCTTTAAGCTATATCCTGGGCGAGATATGTCTCTGCGCTGCTCGTTACCTACATATTTATAGCGTCTTCTTTAAAACCTCCAATATCTCAATTCTTAAATTTTTTTTGTACGAATCTTAATATATAATGTTTGATACATAATTTATATTATCGCGACTTATATAAAAGTCTCTTCTTCCAGATGAATATAAAGAATTCAATATATATTTACAATATTTTTCTATGTAATTGCTATTTTAATGTATGTGCGTATTCTAATAATACTTAACTCAGTACAGTTTCGTGTCTTCTAAAAACATTGATAGGTACTTTGATTACTTAAATGAATACCTTCTTAAAGGAAGGATAAATGTCGTTCTTATCTAAATTCGCTAAAACTAATCGTGATTAAGATAGATTCAGATAGAGCGACACGCGCACCGCTGTACCACTTGATTCGATATTAAATCAATTTAATGCCTTTTATCGCGGATAAGAAGCAATCTCCACGAGAGTCTAATGCGGATAATGTCGTGTCTATTCGAAATAAATTGAAAACCGGTTTCGACAAACACGCGTGACTCCAAGGACCATGAAGTCTTGCCATATCGATCCGCACCTACAATTTTCTCAGCTTCAATTTTTCCAATTCTCTAATCGGCACTATATAAAGTATCACTACCGAAGCAATGATACCTACATTTAAAAAATACACTTGAATCGAGAAGTAGCAGTTATCTTGCGTCATTTATACATAATTACATTCCGATGCGTGACCACACCTGTGTTCACAATTCTCCAACTTTGCTCGGCAAAGCGAGACAAGGCTAAGAACATCATCTTTTTCTTTCAGCTGTCACACTTTACGTTAAATTTGTCTTATAATAAATACAATAACTGAATATAAGCTTCAATTTATTTCTGAAATCACAATTTAAAAAAATACCACTTGAGGAGATTTATGCCTGGCTATTAAAAGGGGAAACGATTCCGTCGAACAATCGGAAGTGGCAATTTTTGAGAGGAGAATTTTTGCATCTCGTACCGATCGCACATCCGGCGGAGATGCGGCTCACCGCGTCCGCGGACTTGTCTGTCTCGCCCCCTTCGTCCATGTCTATTGTTTCACGGTGCATCATCGCGGGGTCCGTGAAATGCCGCGCGCGGAGAGATTTCTTGCGGAGGTAAAGGCGAAGGACGAAGGGACGAAGGAAGAGGCGACGGCGGCGGGCGATCCCGGGCTGGTGCGGCGTGAGGGGCGGTGGGGGCGAATATCGCCCGCACGCATGCGCGGTGCGTGCCGCGATCTCTTAGGCCGCCGGTTGCTCCGGCTGGTCTCAGTCGTCCGCGACGTTCTGTCCGCGATACGATTCGGCGTCAACGTGTCGTGCTCTGGACCCCACCGGTTGCAGCAAGTCGATATCTACGCGCCGGTACAGTAACAAAAACCACCCCCCTCCCGAGGAAACCAGTGATTAATAAAATAGACTCGTCATCGGACAGTGGCATTGTGCTCCAAAATCTTAGACTTGAGTAATTTACGAATATATGACATAAATTTGGGACAGTCGCTGATCGTGGATGCACATTATAATGAATGAATCATTTAAACAGGTGACTTAGATATTAAGTTCCCGAAGGAGGAAATTATTAATCGATACAAAGGATAGATTTTTATTTCAAACTACCAACGACGATCACCACGCGGTATAGAGCAGTGCGAGAGAATTGCTTCGAATCGTCTTGAGGAATATCTTCCCGGTGTCTTCTGTAATGTTTAAATGGTTCAGTAATCAGTGACGAGCATCGTTGCAGCGGACTCTTACCGTGTTGGAGCCGCGCCAAAAGAAGTCGCGTACACGGTTGCACCATCGTTTCAGGTTCCGTGGTCACCACATGGTCACCACAATCCGGCCGTGACGTGCGGTTAAATTTAGAGACTGCCATCGGAGAAAATTGACAGTTCCCGGATTGAGCTATCGACTGTGATCAAACAAACGCTCAACGAAAGCCGTCAGGTGCGTCAGAACGCGACGCCGCGGTGGGCCGTTTTGCCTCGATCGTGGAATGATCGACGCGATATCGATCGTGCGCGAGTACTGCTACTCGACAGTCGAGCCGGCTCGATGCGCGGCTAAGGAAATCGCGACCGGCGAGGCATCAAGCGGTAATCGATCAAGGTGCTATCGCGCGAAAGCCGCAGTCAAGGGGCACATGATGATGTAAGGTGCCTGGACACGGTGCTACGAAGACCGAAATGACGCGCGATAAAAGGCTAGTGCTGCTGCTGGGCCTGCTGATGGCCTATGGCCTCTTCGTGGCCGAATGCCGATATCATCAGCGCGATGACGCGGCGATGACGGGGACCGAGGCGAGACACCGACATAGGCACAGGCACGAATCCTCGAATCGAAGGAATCATCACGACCTCGACAGGAGATCCTGGCCGAGAGTCGACTATGACGCGTATGACGGAGATTCCGAGGATCCGATCGACGAAGAAGATTATGACGTGCAATCGTATTACGATCATCTCAGATCGCATCATCGATCCGCGCAGAGGGGTTATCACGGTCGAAAGTTTGAGCCGCGTTATCCGGCCAGATATCACGATGGACATCGCGGAAGCTGGTTCGATGAAGACTACGACAGGTATAGAATTCCGTCGCGATATAACACGAAGAATTATCGATATAAATCCGGCAGGACCTATCATAAACCCGCGTATTCGCGCAATCACGACGTGTCGGATTTCGAGAATGTTTCGGAGGATGATTACGATTACGAGAGGACGCACAGATACATCGAAAGTGACGAGGCTGATAAACATCACGAGTGGTGGAGAAACTCCAGGCGACACGCGTCCCTCAGGAAAGACATGAGAAATAGAATGAATGGTTATCGTGGCGCAAAGAAGGACCGCTTGGAGGATCGCGGAGGCATCACCGATCGTGCCGATGTGTCTGGATGGACGGATGATTGGAGAGTAAGATTGAACATCTCGGAGCCTAAATATCACTCCTCGAAGAACGATAAGAAGATAGAGGAAGATGAAGATTACGAGGATCACGGTGGACTCGAGGAAGACGACAAAGACGAAGAAGAAGATGACATTTGGAAAAATGCCGATGATGAAGACAACGAAGATAACGAAGAGGAGGAATTTGATAATGATTTCTATGAGAGCAAGGCCAAATCACCCTTGAAGACCTATGAAGACATTATCAGGAGACTCACGTCTGGCGAACCGACCACTCCGAGACCTACCGTCAAGAGGGATTACCGCAACATCGAAACATTGAATAAGCACGCGAAACGTGACAGTTACAAGAATTTCAACGAACCGAGAAATGTCTCCAAACCGGTGGATCTCCTCAGATTCAGTAACGCGTCTCGCAGCGCCATGTCCAATTATTTCGTGAACAGACGGGCCGCGAAGAACTCGACCGTCAAATCCGTTGGTTCGATCGGACATAAGCTCCCGAAGAACGCGACCGACGTGACGGTCAAGGGCAACGATCGGCAAGAGAAAAAGATCGCGGTCAGTACTAAGACCAAGAGCCTCGAGGATTACGACGAATATCTGAATGCTCCGGATAACGAGAAGGAGGACGACCTCGCTAAAGCTGGTACTGAGGACGATTCGATCATGCAAGCAGATGTTAATAATGTGAGTAATACTAATAAATGATTCGTAAACAGAATCGATTTCTTAAATCAGTATTATTTCGCGACAGAAGACCAATCATGGAATTTATTGGAAACTATTTCTAATTCTTCTAATTTGCCAATCACATGACAAAGACACACGATTGTGTCACGATTTATCACGATTAATAATAAGAAAGACGCGGAAAATTGTATAATTCGATTGAGTATCATTACATCACGACAGGTCGGGCTCCGAGCAAAGCGAATGTAATTCGGTTTCTAAGAAATCACGAAGAGAGAAAGAATGTATGCGTGTACGTGCTCTCGATGCCATCGCAGGAGCTGAAAATCGTAAAGTCAGTTACTGTCGAGCTCTCCTCGTATCGACCTTGCCTCGACGCAGATTAGGATCAAGTCGAGAAGCTCTCTCGAACCACGTACAGTCGCAAACGCGAATCCGTTCATCGATGCTTCCCTCTCGTGAATGCTGTTCCATTTGCATAAACACCCGAGGAGGTACACGCGATATATAGCACGTGGCGCGATATGTGAAAGAACTCTCCCGTAACTGTACCGAGAGAGAGAACTTTCGCAGATTTCTCAACGATTCTCACAGTTTCGATAGTCATCTTCCGTATTTCTTCCCCGGTATTGTCAGAATCGTCCAGTCTCGATCGCAATTCTCCTCGAACGTGAGATCGAATCGGACACTCGTGATTAATTTAACATAACGGCGCTACCGTTATAATGATTACTAGGATCTTCGTTACGTCGTGATTTGCGTTCTCTGACGAGATTCTGACGAGATTGATAAGAATTATAGGTATACGATATAGATCGCGTAGCTTTTGCCAATACTTATTTCGATAAAATAGATCTCCGAAAGCTGCTGTGTTTACATAAGAGACAGTAAATTGTGATTTATTATGACAACGAATGTTGGCAATGAAAATTATTTCTGATAGGTTATTCTTAACCGACACATATACAAACACACATGTTTGTCATAAAATTGATTTTGTCAAAGATTTCGCAATTTTATACCTGCGACGACGAGCCGAAGCTTGAGAATCGATCGCTTTTATGCTGCGTGTCGACAGAGCGAAATAAGATTGGCGGGATAGAGCACATTAGATTTACCAGTCATTCGTGTAATATATGGGCCAGAACATTTCGGACTGCTCGTTCCGCGCTGTCGAACTTGAGATTAACTTTCACGAAGTGCATCGGCATTGAAGGTAGCGCTGGTTCACCTTGAAATTATTTCGACAACTCTCATAATAGTGCAAGGAAACAATGTAAGACATTTATTCACTGCAACTGTCATATTCGTCAAAATCTATTTTACTTCTTATTTTACTCATATTCGTCAAAATCTATTTTACTTCTTATTTTACTCATATTCGTCAAAATCTATTTTACTTCTTATTTTACTCCGTATTTTACTCTGTATTTTATTTTATTTGTCAAATATCTATTCATCAAAATTATATATTCGTTTTTGTATAAGATTGGAATTATTAGTAGAAATATTTATTTATATAAAATTAAATTATAATTTGTATATAATTAATAAATATATAAGCAAAAAATGTTGGAATTTAAATTTTTACATATTTATAAGTAACTTTTATCTTGTAATTTCACGTTCAAAAAACAGATTTAAGAAACTTTAAATTAGAATCCCTGATGTTGGTTATTCTCATCGGCGATGCCATACTCCTCAAGATTTTCCAAGTACTTTATTTTCGAAAACTGTTTCGGATTTGCTCGATCGCGAATGCTCGACGTTATTAATGACTGGTGTATCTGCATGCGAGATGGTCCCGGGGTGCACCCTTTGCCTACTCAAGACCAAGATTAGATTGACCTTGGCAATGCAGACCGGCAAATCGTTTCATCCGCGTCAAAACTTCCTAACTGACGTTCGTAGGATTGACCTCGCCGTTCGCTAGGCGCCAATCGTCTGGCAGACGATTCGGTATAGTTTATCGTCAACCGAAGCTCGATTCAACAGAGTGTGAACATATTTATAGAACTTGAATTGCCAAGCAAAATATTTTCAAATACTTTGGCAAATAGCCTGATTATATATATATTTGTGTATATTGAAAAAGAAGAAAGATATATGAAATTTTTAATGGCTTTCTTATGAATTTTTTTATTTAAAAAAAACAGTACCTAAAGTTAATCCATAAGCGAATCAGGAGAAACTTTTATTATCTTGTCAGAAAACCTATTCGACAACGAGATCATCGCTCTCAGTTTTGCGTATTTTGGCGCCAAACGCGGTGCACGCATCTTAATTTCGCGGTAGCTCGCAGCGAAGGCGATCTCGACGAACAAAACGACGGGCACGTCCACGGCGGCTGTCGTCACGATCGTGCTTTGCCCTTTTTGCGCCAATTTACAAAGGTAAACCCGCCACGTTCCATCGGCAATTTACCTCTGCATGCCGGTCGGAGAGGAATTGCCGGGGTAATTGAGCAATTCTGCCACGTGTTGCAGTTACCCAGTCGTGGTTTTCCGCCGTAAATTCACGTGCATCGATGCCGGATGATCAAAGGGAACCTTCCGTCACCGATCGTGCTTTTTAATTTGGATTAAACGATTGCGAATTCCGTCGCATAATCGCGGAGAGAGATCTTGTTAAGTGGATGCATATTTATTAGTTCGCGATTAATCCAGAGATCTAAATATGACGAGAAAATTTGCAATTAATTCTTCGGACGGTAAAATTAAATTAGGCGCGCATAATTTGACATTTCGTACAGTAGCGACTTGAAAGAGCCATAATTTTCTCGCGTTCCAATTTATTATGAATCTTCAAAAGCCGCACGACTCGCAATTTGCGCGAAACTGACTAGCGTTTAATTCCATTACGTTGGATCCTGGGAAGATAAACGGTCCAAAGCATTATGTATAACAAATATCTTCAAAGGTGAAATAGGGCACAGTAATATCTCGGAACGAGAGCATGTAATATCTCTTTCTGTAATATCTCATTATGTAATATCTCTAATAATTATGTATAAAAGGAGAGAGAAATTTCGCAAAATTCGAAATTTTGCATCGAAATCACATAAAATAGCATTAAAATATTCTACTTCAAAATATCAAACACAGATAATCCAAAACATATTTCGAATATATCATCATAAAAATACCATTTCTTACAAATGGCACACGCACATGTGCATCAAAACTTAATCGTCGATGTAGCGTTTTCTTTATCGCTTGGCATGTTTATCTGAACGACATGTTAATCTGCAATTGACCTACCTCTCGACAAAAACATCTAGTGCAACGTAAAAGTCAGTTCTATCCAATGCTAATATATGGTAACAAATGCACGTTAACCAGCTTATCTTGCTTCTTAGAATCCTCGTTAAAGCCCCGAGAGCATGATACTCGAGCGTTCTTTATCAAAACAGGGAAAACTCATAAAATGCAGCAGAATTTTACGATTATCGTCGTAACTACAGGTCGCTTGTATAGAAAACACGAGTGTTGCAAGTTAATGCGTTTGCGCGAACGAATTGCAAATACATCATTCCTCGAGTATTGGATTTATCTACCGTACAAATAATAAAATGCGCGGTGCATTATTCAAATAACCAGCATATCCTCCTATTTACTTGCAGAAATATATTTTTCCAGCATTAAAATATACTTTCCGCTTTTAAATACAAGATCAAAAATGGATTCATTAACAAATATTTCAACATTAAGCTCACCAAAGTATTTGGATAAGATTTCAAAGAATTAATCGTTAACACTGACATATACCGCATACAATTTCATTTTCAATGATTGCGTCAAGTATTGACATGTCCTCGTTCAAAAGACACGCTTCATTCTTAGAAGTATTTCATTCTAATATTAATGCACTCTTTAAAAAGATCTATAAGATCATAATGTCGAACCAAATAAACGTACCCTCGTTGCATCCTTTTCTCTAATTCGTTGCGTCCTTTTCTCTAATTGCTTTTAAAGGGCAAGCTCGAGCGAGCCTCGACTCGGCTTTATCTTATCTTGTAACTCGATATGAAGATAAAAACTAAGCCAAAATAATACCGATTTTCATGTCCGCCTGTCATCACTTTTTTATCGCGTACAAGATTTATGTCTCAATTTAGTTACACACAAATGTACTCGCACAAATGTATTTCATATATTTCAGTTACTTACACACTCGTTTGTACGGTGTAGTTTTGAGCATATAGCATCTTTTTAAATTCGATTTATTAAAGGTGTACTTTATATATTATTCATATATTACAATTAAAGCAATCAATGTCATCTGTATAAATGTTTTATCTCTGGATAAACAGCTGATAGACTTCGCCGAAATGTCATTTATACGGAGCTCTTTTGGCGTTGCTTTCTTTGATTCATCCGTCTTTTCCCATCTAAATTGTGATTGTGTTCTGTATCTATTTTTCTCGATTTCACGGATTTTCTTTCTCTATTTCTCTCTCTCTCTCTCTCTCTCTCTCTCTCTCTCTCCCCCCCCCCTCTCTCTCTTTATCTATATTTCTCTCGAGAATTTCGCTGAAATGAATCCTCGTCTCGCGCTACGAACATTAAAAAACAACTTTACCACCTGACCACGAAGAGTATTCATAAATCCACCATAAAGCTTACCACGGAAGCTCGTTACCGCGGTGCGTAAAATCCGGCTGGCGATGCATCCACGAGGGATTCGGCAGCGGCGGAATTCATGCGAGAGCGCGGATTTACGGACGACACATAATGCAACGAGGTATGAATTAAAAGCATCGGGGTTTCCTCTCGCGTCGCAAATTCCCCCCCATTTTCGGCGACCGTAAAACGCCGCACGGCTATTTTCGTGTAGGCGAGTAAATTACATCGATGCTTGCGCAACGAACGGAAAAAATCTCGCGGATAGATACGTTTAAGAGCTGATTTAAGATATGGTGTTCGTAGAATCGTTAAGCGCGTCATTCAACGTGCAGGCGATATTATAAAATTACTTCCTTATCTTTTGCAACTTGA